AGACCAACATGTCAAAGAAGAATTATTAAGAACACAACCTGATTTCATCTATGTTCACCTAGGAGTCAATGATGCCAACCAAAACTTCGACCTAAGGGTAAGTCTCGACAACATATTTCAATTTTCACTATTCGTAGAGGAATCCCTGATAGGTACAAAGTTATTCTTCTCAATGCCGCTAATGACATCTGACAATGAAGCGAACGCAAAGATTGGGGAGATAAGGGATGCAATTTGGGAATTTGTGACTGTAACTAATAAAAACGAACGCAAACCCTTCAAAGAGCGGTCTTTGTATTACAACCCCAACGCAAACTTCATGCATGATGATCATCTGATAGGAGAGTATCACACGAACGATGGAGTCCACCTTTCAACAAGAGGCAAAGAGGTCATCCTAGGAAACTTCCGTCACAGCATCCATGAAATGACAAGACTGCTTCTCAACAAGCCAAAGAAAGTCCGTTCTACAGGAGGATTGGAACCTTCTCCTCTTAGTCGAATGTGATTACACTGACATAGATTCTCATTTATACACATTATACCATGACTAGAAACGCACAAAAAAAATACACAGGTTTCAATTAATAAAAATAGCATAAAAATACTTTCTTGGAATATCCAATCGCCTTCATCAGTAGATGGGAGCAAATTTGAAATAGAATCATTTCAAAATGTTATCAAAGATCATGACATAGCCTGTCTTCAGGAAATTAGGAGAGAGGTTCACTTGGTAGGATATCGATCAATCTGCAACATAAGGAAAGACGGTAAATCAGGAGGTGTCGGTATCCTCATTAAAAATGAGCTTATTGAAGGGATTGAGTTTATCAAGAATACAAAGTGTTCAGACTACCTAGTTTGTCGACTAGACAAGGATTTCTTTAACCTATCAGAAGATACATTCATAGTTAACGTTTACATTAGACCATTTAATTCATCAGCCTCAAACCCGACTGACAATGGCAAAGATGCTCTAAAAAACATTGAAGACGTTGTGAACGAACTTCGGGAGGAGGGCGAAGTCATATTGTGTGGGGACTTTAACTCTCGTATAGGACAAAAAACGGGTATGATAAGAGAAGACTCAACCAACGTTGTTCCCTTACCAGACGATTATGAGCCTGACAACTTTCTCCCCCGAAACTCACTAGACTCTATCACAAATACTTACGGTACACACTTTCTTAACCTAGTCAAACATAACCAACTCACTATTCTGAATGGCCGTACCCTAGGAGATCTTGTAGGAAACTTCACAAGTATCCAAAAAAATGGGTGCAGCGTTATTGATTACATTGCAGTGACCAACTCCACAAAGATCAGAATCAACTACTTCAAAATCTTGACATTCACCGAGCATTCTGATCATAAGCCCCTCAGTACTGAATTAAAATGCAATAGATTCGCGATCAACAAATGCGCCCCATTACAGGACACTTATCAGACAGCGCCAACCAGATACATTATCAACGAAGAGAACAAAGACGACTTTTTCGAAGCTCAGTCAGAAAATCTATCATTGACCTTAATCCAAGAACTTCAATCAAACATCGACTTACTCACCAATCAAAATATTTTAGCAGACAATGACCGTAATTATGAAACTGAACTCAAAGACATTAACAAACGACTTTCAGAACATCTTCGCGACATGGCCTCGAAGTGTTTCAAACAAACCAAACCACCCAAAAAATCTCACACCTCAAACAAACCTTGGTTTAACTGGAAAACGAGATTAGGTAAAAGAGAATTTCGTAAAGCTACAGATGCAACCTCAAAATTCCCGTCAAACAACCTTATACGTGAAAACTATTATCTTGTCAAGGGTAGCTATAAGCGTTTGAAGAACTCTGCCAAAAACGAATTCTTCGCACGTATGAATGAGGACATAGAGGGGGGGAAAATTCTCAACTGGCAATCTTTCAAAAAACTAAAAAATCAGAAAAAGGAAACTTTAAATTTTGACAGTCATGATATGAATAGATTCGAGACTTTTTTTGGTAGCCTATATTCCGATAACCACAAAACAATAAATGAAAATAAAAAAGTTTCTATGATTGATCAAGCTGACTTGATAAATCAAGATGCAACTCATCCTGAGTCACTCAACTCCTTAATCACCAAAACAGAACTTGACTCTAGTATAAAATCCCTAAAAATGGTAAAGCTTCCTCACTCGACATGATTAATAACGAAATTATAAAATCTCTGGACACCAATCATAAATTGATTATGTTGAACCTCTTCAACGCCTGCTTCTCACAAGGAATTTATCCCTGGAACGTCAGCATTATATCTCCACTTCATAAAAAGGGAAATAAATCAGATCCTGACAACTACCGTGCAGTTGCTGTCAGCAGTGTCATAGGAAAACTATTCTCAACTATTCTCTTAGAACGACTCATTCACTTCTGCTCTGAAAACTGCCCTGATCCACCTAACCAACTAGGCTTCACAAAGAAAGCTCAAACATACGATCACATACTAACCATGAAAACTATAGCTTCAAAATATAAACTTTTGGGGAAACCTGTATATGCAGTATTTGTTGATTTTAAAAAAGCATTCGACTCAGTCTGCCGTCAAGCCCTTTTCCTCAAACTCGCAAAAAATGGCATAACTGGGAACTTCTACAATGTCCTCAAAAATATGTACTCAAACTCGTACGCTTACATAAAATTATCTGGTCACCTCAGTAAACGCTTTCAGATACGTAAAGGTACAGAACAAGGTCACCCACTCTCACCTGATCTTTTTAAAGTTTTTCTCAGTGATATGTCCTGCCTCCTAGATTTTCCAAATTGCCCCGTACTTTCAAATATGACTGTAAGCCACCTACTGTGGGCGAATGACCTTATACTCCTTTCACTCGACCAGGAAACCACTCAAAAGCAACTTAATATTCTCGGTAATTTTTGTGAGGAGTGGGGCATTGAAATCAATGAACTCAAAACTCAAGCAGTCATCTTTGGTAAGAAAACGTTAAAACAGGACATACAAAACATCAAATTTACACTCAACGGATCTAATCTTGAAATTGTTGACAGTTATTGTTACCTTGGATTTGAACTTCATCAATCGGGTCAAGTACAGATTGCTCAACAAAACCTTAAAACCAAAGCAATGCGTGCATTTTTTGGCCTGAAAAGGGTTGTCATGCGTTCAAAGTTATCTTTTAAAGCACTCCTTACACTGTTCGACTCTCTCATCAAGCCCATTTTATTATATGGTGCTCCGATATGGACACCCACTAGTACGATCAATAAATCTCTAATTTGCAAAACGATTAACTCGACAGAAGCAACCGCTACTAACTTACTTAAAAAAATCAGCGCCTCTCTGCAAGAAAGAGTGCATATTTCATTCCTAAAATGGGCATTGGGAGTCCATCGTAAAGCATCAAATGTCGGTGTTTGGGGAGAAACAGGAAGAATTCCTCTGATTTATCAATCAATTCGCTTAACGTTAAATTACTTCAAAAGGCACGATGGGACCAAGTTGAATAGAGCCGCGCTATTTTCTATCCCGTTTGGCGCTGCTAGTCGCGCTTGCGTCCGCGCGTTACGCGTACGTCATGTAAAATATTGAAATCACAAATGCGACCTTATTGTTGCGCGCGCGACCATGCGCTACCCATTTCCATGTTTTGAATTAAAAAATCGACGTACGACCACAGTATATAAATTTTGAAACAATTAATTATTTGGTAATTGATGCATCTAGAGTCATTTTAATATAGCTTGTATACATTTTTATTGTTATGCATAGATAGATAGCCTGATGAATCGAGCGCTAATTCTAATGCAGAAGAAATGACTACTTATGAACAAACAAACCGCCTAGTTTGATGTTAACTTTCGTATTCTTTACTATTTAAGCAAATTGTATTGTTGGCTGATATTTTTCCAGCTTTAAATTTGATATCGTCCACAAGTTTCGGGAAATGATGTTTGTAGACTTGAGACTGTATGCTCACGACCTTTTGTAAATACATATATGAAGAATAGAACATCATATCACCTATTCTTTGATATAAAGTGAAAATCTCCAAATAAGATTTCATTGAATCCTCGATCTGACACTTTCAAAGATATTCAAATCATTGGTAACATATTGATTGTTGTAGATCACAGGTCTATGAATTCTCACATACCATCTCCATGACGAAGCACACAATTTTTCCTACTTGAGGCCGTACAGTGAGTTCTAATGGCTTGTCCCAAATGCATCAATGTGCTTGACTTCTATAACTTAACATTATGAGCCTTTAATCTTATGTCCCAACTCCCATCGTATAGATGATTGATATTTCTTACAAGCACACAAGCAGAATTTCTTCTATAGGCTTCTTTTGAAAATTTCTTTTTTGTCTTTTTAAACCAAGAATATATTGCTTTATGAGATAATGCCATTTTCGAAAGATTTGAAGATGAATGTTTATTAGTGGGCTACAAAATCCTGCCACTCATCATTGCCTATTGTAAAGTAAAATTATTTCTTGGAGCACTTAAATCAACCACCTGCCACAATACAAATTCTCGCATTCCAATAAATGTTATTATATGTTTATTGTTTCTTTTTACCCATATTTTGACCAATTGTAAAAATATATATGCTCAAATGGATATTCTTTTAATTAAGTACCGGGGAAAGAAGGTGGACACCAAACATGAGATCCATCTATCAGAAGTCTCCTACAATCTCATCCCTGCCCCTTTAATGGAGTCTAAATAATGGAGCAGATCATGCGTTTTGAAACTTTTATATATTAGATTGTTAAAGATTTAAAATATTGTGCTCTGCCAATTGCAACACTAAAAATTTGATTGTGCTCTGCCAATCGCATCACTTGATTTAATTGAATGTATATTAAATACATTTTGACACATTTTTCCTTTTATTTACTATCGAAACTTCTATTAGGGAAAACGAAATCTTTGACTTACTTATTCTAATCAATTCAATTTAGGTGCCTACAGTTCATGTATGATAAATCTACTGGTTAGTGGTGACGACGCAGTCTTAACATTGGAGTGAGCCAATCTAATCCAAGCAAGTGAGGGAAATAATTTTATTTTAAACCTGGCGTGCACCAAGTTGGAAATGCAGTATCCAAGACAACCCACCATTATTAAAGGCTAGTTAGACATTTAAATTGAGTACACAACAGTTTGGTTAGGAATAAGGTTAAGGTTCCTAAAGTCATAATAACTATCTGTTACCCCTACCCTTGCATTATTTTAAATTTGTTTCACTAAAAAGTTTGTTTCACTATTTCTCACTCTTATCCTAAAAGTAGTTTATTATGATCATAGTTCTATAATACATGGGAAGTATCTGTGCAGCCCCACAACAAAGTCTACTCTTGGTTTTAGGGCTGCACAGATACTGCCCCACTCAATTCCCAATCCAAAACTGGACACCTTTTAGGTTACATAACTCAATGCACTCAATGATGGAAGCCATAAAGCACATCACTCCATTTGTATCCTTTAACACACTATGATTTATTAAAACATTGTTACAGGCATTATTACTCAAATTTCTATTAAAATGAAACTGTAACCTTGCAGTGCAGAGTATGAATTAACCCCGAAATGTTGCTATTTAACAATTAACATAGCAATTAGAAAGATAGATTATTGTGTTTATCCTTAGAATTCTATTAGTTGTATAATGTAAAACCGGTATAGTGTTGGAATTGTTCTCTGAATTTTGTAAAATTGATCCAGAAGATCAGAAAGGGATGCACTTATGCATCAAAATGTTATGTATCCCAAATTTCTTGTTCCCAAGGTATTACATTTTTCACTCAGTGAGTGTTTCTGATTAAAGTATGAGTGTTGGGTGTTTGTCATGTAATGTAGGGCTGATCAGTGGTCAGTTATTTTGATTGATAATTAACTGTGACATAATGGGACTGTTGAAAAGCACTGCGCTATTTCTATTCCGTTTGGCTCTGCTAGTTGCGCTTGACCACGCGCTACATGTACGTCATATCATTGATCATGTTTTTATTTGTTTAGATACAAGCTTGTCACGTTTGGCCATCATAATTAAAGTGAAGTAAATAATTCAGTATCTTAATTAGGTGGCTGCATTTTGTTTTGAGTTTAGTAGGTCCTAGCATTTATCCCTATGCAGTCACTCAGATAAGTTTTATACCAGGACACTTCAACAAAAACACATATTCTGCCCACAATAAGGGGCCATAATTGTTTCAATTATGCAAATGTATAGGATTATTATTATCATTACCTTGATGCAGTTATCTGTGCACATATGAATAGTCCAAATATACATTTTTTTAAAAATTGTGCATAAAAAGCGGCCACTTTGTTGATTTTATTTGGATTCGATCTAAGTACCACTGATCTGATATTATTTTCATTGTCGGGCTGAAATAAAACTTGTGAAAATTCCAAGAATGCACTGAGCACATTTATGCGCATTGCTAAGCATCTGGCTAATTTAATACTGCAACTGGCTAATGTATAATTGAGATGATTAACATGACCTTTATTCAGATGACGGTAAGATGATTTCGATGATGTCAAAACCGTTGGAGAGATGGATGCCTCATCTACCCCTGGTTGGCTCACAATACATATGATTATTCTGTTTGATATTTTTTCCTCCTCTCCAATCATTGTTGGTCTTCAGCTGTATGAGGTAATTTATTTCAAACAACTAAGCCTGATGCAAATGATGTTAAATATTATTAAGATCTGTCTTTCTTGTATGATCACATAATTCCGTGTTCTTGATGGAAGGCCACATGCACTGTTTTCAAACTTTAAAACAACGACCAAGCACTGTGTTGTTTTTGTTCTAATCATGATCAGTTTATAGTTATCTTCTGATCTATTTAATTTGAGGCAAGCCACGCTTATAATACTTATTGTATCTTTACTAATAAGCTTGATCATATTCTCAGTAAATGAAGGTTTTTAAATGAGCATGTGCTTCGTTACTTTTAGGATAAACTTACTTGTCGCTAGCTGCTGTAACGGCTACATTGTTATTTGTTGTGCTAATGATACCAAAATCGTAGAATAGAGAGAGAGAGAGAGAGATTGTGCTGACTGAAATAGTGGTGACTGGAGAACTCAGAAATACAAATCTGTGCAACATCTTAAAATTCCTAGTTTGATAGCCCTTACAACTCCCTCAGACACACACCGTTTAGTAAGTACTGTAATACTATTTTAAATACGTCCTTAGATAAAGAAATATTGGTAATATTTTACCGGGGGAGGAGGGGGACCCCGGGATCAGGTACTGAGTACTGTTAACTGTACGTGACGTTGGGGTGGTGTGTCATATATTCTTCCAAAACACAGTTAGTACTTTTGTACTAAGTGGTGGATCTGCTGCTCATTTCCCAGAAAAAACAGTTTGTACTGTATGCTACTAAATAGTGAGTCTTAGGTCTAATTTGCCCAAAAACAGTTAGTAAATTAAGATATAATTTATTAAACAGAGTGCGATTGATCTTTTGTATAATTTTAAAAAGTGGCCTTTGGCTTTGTTGACTTTTCCGTTTGAGAAGGTGCAGTGTTTAATTTATTTTAAAATGTATTTCAACTACTGGTTCTTAAATGATGTGTGATATGTATAGTACACATTACATACATGCCATGTGTGTAATTGTAATCTGTAAACATGTGGGCGTGTGTTAGTGTATGTTTTTAATTAAGCATAGATATCTCAACTGTTAGTTTCATTGTTTACATTCAATATCGGATCCTTTTAAAACTAAAAAGTCATATTTAATGAGCTGTTTAAAGCAATTTCTGGGTGGGTATCTTATTTTATAAACCAAGACATAGTACAGTGATTTCTCAACAGTTAGTACCACAAAAGCCGGTAAAAGGGGGTGGGTGTCTTAATTATTATCCTAAAAACAGTTAATACATGATCCCTTACCCCCGGCCCCCCCGGCCCTCCCCCCCCCCCCCCCCCCCCCCCCCCCCCCCCCCGATTTTACTGCTGCTAGGTAAAAATACTTTCATAGGTTCAATAGGTAGGTACTGCAATTGTATGGCATGAATATCTATAAAATTGTTTACACGTTTAGCGACAGTGAAAAGAAATCATAACAGCCACTTATTCTTGGAGATGGCAAAAAGATTAAATAAGCTAAAAGAAGCTTGTATTAATCCTCTTGATGTGGTATCTCCTCTATTTCAGAAGTCTTGGCCCAGATTTCTCTGGTCTACTAGACGTGGAGCACAGGTGTAAGTCTACTTCAAATGTTTGTTGAGAGTGTCGGTTGAGTGTTAGCAAATAACTCTTTCCAACGTAGATTGATGGCCATTGCAGAAATATTCTCCTGTACCGTAGCGAGTAGATCATCTTTTGCTTTCTTGGACCAAGACTGAGTGCTGTGTTGTGAGTGTGAGTAGAAATGGTGACCTTTCCTCTTCGGGGGCGGGGGAGGAGTGGTAGTGAAATGTTGATGGGGAAGCGGAGAAGTAGAGAGGGAGTTGTGGAGTATTTTGTGGAGCGGTTTGAGGAACAAACTAAATAACCTTCGAATAGATTTCGTAATTCCTGCTAGCATTGTACAAAATTTCAGGGATTAAATCCTGAAAAGTAGCGAATAGTATTGCCGATCAGGCCAGGACCATGTAAAAGTGTAACATTCCTTCTCCGAGAACAAATGTAAGTTGAAGCAAAATTACTATTGCCAATTATTTGCCAATGCTGATGAAAAAATGTTATTAAGATTTAGAAAGTTCTGAGATTATTATCTATCATACAATTTTGACACAACTCACGACTTGCTGAGGTTATGTTTCAAATTCGTTTCACATTATTAATCTTTGACAGGGAGTTAATTCTGCCACAAAAGAAAAGAATGAACTGATGAACTCGTTCACACTACCCCTCGCTCTTCAACTGTTGGAGAAAACTTCCTTCTATCGCTGCTCGCAACACAGCAGAACTTGGTTTAATTCTGTGCGCTAAAATTTTGCAAACGAGGCCTAAAATACTGTTATGTAGGATAGACTGTTATGTAGGATAGACGGAATCGTTTCAGTAACTTTCTTGATCATCTTTAGAAACTCTTTCAACAACATTGATAAAGTCCAGTTTGCCTGCTGAAATTTCAGAATCTTGCTCTACTTTACGGAAGGCGCGAATGTAAAATCTATGAATTGTAAAAAAAGCAATCAATGTCAGTTAAGAGTTAAAATTTGAATATGCATGATATGGTCGGTCGAATATAATATAATGAATTGATCCAAAGCCAGCAGGCTTTTCGCACTGGCCAGTATTGCTTTTTGAAGGGAAACGCTACAATGCTCATCAAGGAGCAAATCCTGGTTCGCGTAACCAATATCAAACGCATCATGGAATCCATTTTCTGAGATAGGATTCACATTTAATCATCAAAACTCTTCTTACTGATCGTTCAACAGAATGAGAGTAAGTAGTGGTAGTTTTGAATTATTTTCAGACTTTCAATATCGATGGGGTTTGAGAATAATTGGGCCTTGGGAACATATTTCCAATCCGGAGTTATGGCAAATTACGTGTTAGTAATAATGTCAATGATTATATCTGTGTTCGTGTATTAATCTAACTACTGACTTTATTTGTTTATCTCAATAAGATATTGTATTTAACTTATATTTATAAATAATATAAATAAAGCAAAAGCATTCGACCAGATGTGGGTTTGAGTCTGGCCAGGTGTCGAAATCTTTGAAATCGTAGAATTTAACCCCTGGTCAGACTCGAACCCACACTGAGTTTACTTATTGCTTGTGTCAATATGTAGAATTAGTCTTTTGCTGTCATGACCGAGCCATTGTGGTAACTGGTCATTTTGATACTATGTGTTATTATATTGTGCTACAATGCACTATTCGATCAAACTGATAACATTTTCAATTGTTATATTGTTAAGATTGGCGTTCAAAATTGCACGCGAATGTATTACAATAACACAGAAACATCGTCTTTGATCATCTCTATCTCTAAACCATTCTGTCGTGCCATTCTGGAAATTTGCACACATAAAGTTAAGATGATGTCCAATATATTCTGAGTTTTCTGGGAGGGCTAATAATGAGGTTCTCTTGCAGTGGTCTGTCGAAAACTGATTACTTTACGCACATTTTATAGTCAACTTTATTACGTGTCAGTACTCAGTAATAAAGTGAATGATGGAGTATTATATTTGTGGTAGTGTTGTAATCTAACTAATAACCTAATTTGTTTATCTCAATGATATCTTATATTTATAAACTTAATGGATAAAGCAAAAACATTAAGCTGGGTGTGGGTTCGAACCTCACCGGGATTTGAAATCGAAGATTTCAACCCCCGGTGAGGTTCGAACCCACACCCAGCTCACTACTCACATTGAAAACATCCAAACAGTCCACCGATCTCATGATCGAGCTATTGTGGTAACTAATCTTTCTAATACTATGTGTTATTATATTCTGTTACAATGCACTATTCTATCAAATCTCTAATATTTTCAATGCTTACAATCGGCGTTCAATGCTTACATCTTACAATTGGCGTTAAAAATTGCACGCGAATGTATTAAAATAACACAGAAACATCGTGTTTGATCATCTCTATCTCGAAACCATCTTGTCGAGCCATTCTGAAAATTTGCACACATAAAGTTGAGATGATTTCCAATATATTCTCAGTTTTCTGGGTAGGATAAAAATGAAGTTTTCTTGCAGTGGTCTGTCGAAAACTGATTACTTTACGCACATTTGATAGTCAACTTCATCAAAAAGTTAACTGATCAAATTTATACTGGGATGCAGAACAAAGGATTCTCTTTAAAACTGAAACATGAACTAATGATATGCCAAGTAAAGATAGAGCTGGAAGCCAATGGGAATCATGATGAAATATTTGCCTGGCAACACTCAGCGCGCGAAAAATCTCTAGTGCAATGCGCTTCCAGTGGTCCCATCGTGAAAGGCTAAATACAAAATCAAAGTCGAATTCGTTTGTCACTGCAGCCGTAAAAGAACAAAAATCACTAAACTTACCTTGATCTTATGGCATATGCAACATGACCTCAACATAGCTAATGATATCAACAAACGACAATTCGGCTTTAAAAAGGGCTGCTCCACAGAAGCGGCACTTCATAAAGTTACTCACACCATTGAGCGCAGAATAGCCAAGAAAGGATATGTCCTAGGTGTCTTTCTAGATATAGAGGGCGCCTTCGATAATGTCTCGTTCAAGGCTATCTCTGAAGTAGGAGGTGCACGATAAAAATAAACTTGCTCGGATTTTAAAAATTTTTGTACCACTGTTTTCTAAAGATTGTGAGAATTTCCCCAATACCAAATTTGTCATACCTTTTTGGAAAGATCAGTGAGTTTCGCCTAGGTGCCATATTTGATGGTGCGCGGCTTTTGGAGCAAAAGTAGCTGTAAAAGTCTCGTAATTTGACCAAATTCGTCCAAATTTGACCATTTTTGTCGTATTATTCGGATTTATCTTCAGTTCCTTAAATGAGATCATTCTGGAAATTGGCGACGACCTTCCAATAGGGCTTTCACAACTGTCCGAAAAATTTGGTGGATATCGGAGTTGATATAGTGATCAAAATGGGGCAAAATATGCTACTTTTAGCTGTAACATAATGTCTGATGGTTGGATATGCTTTACATTTTTCGGACACTTTCCTTGTAAGTCTTTAAGTAAGCTTACCAATTTTTGTTGCAATTGGAGGTCGGGAAGGATACTCAATATCTATTTGTTTGAAGAAAATTGTGCTGGCCGAAATTAGCGCTAAAAAACCATCCTACAGTCGGCACGCGCGGCTCACTGTCGATGGCGCACTACCTATCTGAAGCAGTCAAGGCTACGAAAGTGGACTTGGCTACAGCACAGTGGATCATCAACATGGTAACCAATCGATTCATCACACTAAATCATAAGGATAAGTCGAGAAGGGTACGGATCAGGCGAGGTTGCCCCCAAGGAGGCATTCTCTCTCCTTTTCTCTGGAACCTGGTAGTCGACGATCTCCTTTCCTTTACCGCAAAAGACATCCCGGGTTACCTGCAAGCCTTTGCGGATGATCTGTTGTCTCTAGCGGAAGGGGATGATTTAGACATCATCTGGGACCGAACATGCAAAACTATTAAAACGATAGAAAATTGGTGCAGAACCAAAGAGCTATCTATTAGCGCCCTTAAAACTCAGATAGTCATGTTTACCTGGAATAGTAAGTGGACTCTAAGACCTATAACAGTTGGCAACAACATTATAGGTCTTTCCAAGTCTGCTAAATTTCTAGGAGTGACCTTGGACAGCAAACTCAACTTCAATGAACATATCATCAACACCACCAAAAAAGCCACGGCATCCCTCATGCAATGTCGAAGAGCTGTCGGCCCCACATGGGGTATGAGCCCCAAAACATGCAAATGGATGTACACGGCTGTCATCCGTCCAATCCTATCCTACTGCTGTAGTATATGGATCAGGGCCACTCAAACGGACTATAACGCGAAGAAACTCAAACGTGTTCAGGCATTGGCACTCAGAATGATGTCTGGTGCCATGCCAAGCACACCTTTTATCGCATTGAATCACCTCACCGACACTTCTGACATCATACTGTTCCTGCAAGGCGAAGCAGCAAAGGGTGCGGCCAGGCTACAAGCTTATGGCAGCCTCACTCTTGAAACTATCGCTTTCAGGAAGGGAACTATCAAAAATCATACCACTATCAACAAACAATTCATGGCAGACCTCATTATCCCACCTAGAGCAACGAGAGACCTAACAACACCAACCATGATGCTGGGACGGCACTTCACCGTCACAACTCCTGGAGCCGATACCACTGAATATAGAAATTCACTTCAAAACACCATCGACAACATTACCAGTGAAACGATCACCTGCTACACTGACGGGTCACTCACAGACTCAGGATGCGGGGCTGGCTATATCATCACAACTGACAACAATAACACCACCCTTGAAGAAAGATCATTCAAGCTCCCTGATTATTGCACTGTTTACCAAACAGAGCTCACCGCCATCATTGAAGCTTGCAAATATCTCTCTACCTATACCAACACACATATCATCATATGGTCTGACAGTCTCTCATCTATACAAGCTATCTCTGCGCTTTCAACGCGAAGTAGAACTACAAGAGACTGTTACGACTCTCTTAATGCACTCGGATCCAACAACACGCTAGAGATACGATGGATTGCAGCACACATCGGATTGTGGGGGAACGAAAAAGCAGATGAGCTGGCCAAGCTTGGTACAACCAGTGAATCCACTTTGAAGTGTCCAATTCCACAATCCTACATCAAGCGTCAAATCGACAACAAAGTCAACAGACTGAATCAGGAAACTTGGTTAACTGACGGTCCCAGACACACCAAACTGACACTCGGCCACAAGCATGCCAAAATCATCAAAAACCTCAACACTACACTCAGCAAAAACAGACAAGATTACAGAACTGCAGTTCACCTCATCACGGGTCACTGCGGCTTAAACAAACACCTTCACACCATTTGCAAATCAAACACCAGTGCTTGTCCTATGTGCGGCGACGGAGAGGAAACTGTCTCACACTTCCTTGGACAGTGTCCAGCTATTGCCCAAATTAGAGGTCAATATTTCCAGGACTACTACCTCTCTGTCAATGACATATTCGACAACCAACACATCACCACAATTGTCAATTTCGCAAACCGCACCAAACGCTTAATTGTGCCGGAAGAGCTGGATCAGACCGGGGTGGCTTAAAGTATTAGCTCATATGCTGTCTCGTCTCGTTTTACTTTTCCAAACCCAGCTGGCATTTAAGCGTATCATTTTGACTCATATATCATCTTACACCATCCTCCACCAATCACTCTGATTTCACCGGCAACCTTCCCCAAGGTTGCCACACCCCAGAGGTAGGCAGAGCATCTCAATGCTATCCTCTCGTGGGCTATCTTGGCCCAGCCTCTCTAAAAAAAAAAAAAAAAAAAAAAATCGATACATAAAACCACTCCTTGAACTAGATGAAATTTACAAACTAGATCACGTAACTGCGCACCGAATTCTCAATACAAATGCAGCTAACAAAGCCGCGCCCAACCCTGTAAGTGATCACAAATTATTTAAAGACTCCCTCATAAATCAGTCAAATTTTAGTCAATCCATCAAACCACTATGCAGCAAAAAGTATAGAATTCCTAAAATCATCGAAGCTCTAACCAATCAATTCAAAAAATGTTGGCAATATCAAAAATCTACTTCTTCTAAACTCTCATTCTATCACTCAATCAAACACACCTTCAACCGAGAGCCCTACTTATACTTATGCAAAGGCTTTTCTCGTCGTTACAGCACCACAAAACTTAGAATCAGCGCCCATGATCTCCATATTGAAAGAGGGAGATACTCCAACACACCCCGTGAGCAAAGACTATGTGGTTGGTGCCAATCAAGTATGGGCGTTGAGACCATCGAAGACGAGTCGCATGCTCTTTACATATGTGACTTGTATTCAAAACAGAGGTCGAAATTAGTCAAAAATCTTTCTCAAATGCCAATCATTGAAATAAGCAATGAAATCACCGACTCAAGCAATATCAATGAAATTGAAACAAATCTCAAAGATCATCTCATGGAAATTTTGTCTCCTTACTCAACTGTAATTCCTCAAAATCACCAGAGCCTCCATATTCACTGCCACCGCTCACTTGATATTCAACCAAACACCCCACAGTATATTCAATTTCAAGAAAGGCGCTCCTATGCTGTCAACTGTGTGTGCACTTATTTCCTTCGCTGCTCCGAAGAGCGAAATAGCTTTACCGAAGATATGCGTCAGCGTAATTCAAATGCACGAAACTTAAACAATTTTACTATCAATTTGGTGAGAACCTCGCGAATTAGTCATAATTAAGACTTAAGGATAACCCTGGCCCTGACTTCAAGCAAAGATGATTGTTTTCATTAACTTCTGTAAACAATTATGACGGTCCATGATAATGGATCTATAATTTAATTTTAATCCTGTGTAAATCCTGTGTAATCCTGTGTAATCCATCACTAATTATACGTCACTAATTGGTGACGTGATCTGACCCCTCTTTGGGGGCCGGATCAGTTTCCGGTCCCAAAGTCTCCCAGTGGTATCTTTAAAGAGCTTTGGGGTCATTTTTATTTGACAGCACCATAAAGAATTCTAAACAAAATACAATCTGACATGTACTTATTAATTAGGGGTCGTTCACATATTACGTAATCAGCTGAGGGGGGGGGGGGGGGGGGGGGGGGGTTCCGAATTATTACGATAGTGTAATTTTGACACAATAACTAAAACTGATTACGGAGGGGGGGGGGGGGATAAAATGTTCAAAAAAATATGATTACGTAATATGTGAACGACCCCTTATCCAATATTCTAAAAGGCACGACATAATCTTCAATGTGCTACGAATGGCAGTGGTGGATTATGACTACGATCGTGGAAAGGAAATTACCAAAGTGAGTCTCTGAAATCTTATATCTTTGCATAAATTGAGAATTCCTCGTCAATCTAAAATCTAACAGTACCACGTGAAAAAATTCTCATGAGTTCATAATGAATTGATTATATCGACAGTCGACTCAATCTTAATTTGTTGACCATAGACAAATACGAGTTCCAATGCAATGCTCTGTTATTCGGACGGTTAAATCGAAATAACTTTATAAATTCCCAATCTTCTGTCAGCCAGAGGATCTTGATTGGTGGTGGAATATTTACGTATGTTTTTGGATTCTGGTGACTTCAGTCATTATCATCAACCTGTTCATTGCGCTTATGAGTGACATGTATAAAGATATCCTCAACAGTACATTTCATACTCATACTCATACTCATAATGATTTCACCTTTTGATCTCATATTTTTTACCAATTCAACTTGGCCGATGGCGACATGAACTGATTTGCTACAACTGATCATTATCAGTAACCACTTTGTTTGGTTTTGGGTTTATCCACAAAGATGTTACTAATAAACTATGCTGATCCCGGTTTTCCAGATACGCTGGGCTAGGATCCCGTGCACGTGCAATAGTGGCCCTGTCACGTGCACAACTGATAGCAGAGATCGACATGCTCCTACCTAAATCCTGGCTGATAGAGTACAACAGTATACTAAAGACTGGGGCTCAGGATCATAAGGGAATCACAATTTCTATGAGTGATTTTGAGGATGAGGAGTAAGTTAATACTTTAATACGATAAATTAATTAATCAAAACAATTTCGATTAGTCAATAAACATAGAAATTAATTCAAAACTTATAAATGTATTACAAACAAATTTTGAAAATCATAATCAATAATAAATCAACCAAACATGAATTATGTAAAACAGCATAACTAATAAATTTTTATTAACAAACAGTTTCATCAAAATGTTTATTGTATTTCGGGTTTAAGACACAACGCCTTTCCTAAAAGGGGGGACAGCATGACGGATCACATGGTCACAGTACCACTGACGATTTGTGTAATGTGCAATAATTTAATTTGCTTTTAAATTGAGCTAGTATTCGTCAATCTATGCATATTCGCATAAATTCGTATTTTTAAACTTTTGAAAATGTTTCAAAGCTTTCAATAATATCGAATGTTTGATTTAAATTAATGATCATGAAGTAATTGAAGTAACTCTAGATAATTATTAAGCTAATAAAAAAGATTGACGATTACAAGCTAAATCTAAAATCAAATCAAGTTAAATTGTATAATCAGTATTACTATATTTATCAATAGTGCGATGTCTGGTTCGGCTAGTGATATTTCAAGGAACTTTTCACCCTTTTGAGAATGTCAAGTAGGACTGTTCACTGTCTTCGGCCGTAATATCCAGTTCGCCCTATTTCATATTTGATATTGTATGTACAATAATTTTTATTTTCAGAGATAAAAGCAGTGTTATCCAGAAAAAAGTTGAAAGTTTAGAATCCAAAATAGAAACTTTGACACGCATGATCGAAGAGATGCACACTTACAGAGCAGAAATTCAGTCTTGAAGAATGAAGATTACCGAAACGATGATCATTTATGTTCTTATTGGAATTTGATTTGATTCAAGTGATAGGTTCTGAAGAGTTTGCTATAACTGAAAGCATCAATGATACAAACATCAGACAGTCAATGATCAATAAATCATCGAATTTCTGGTAGATTATTAAGTTTTAAACATCAGAGCAATCCGCTGTAAAAAGGATAGTTAATTTCTAGTTTCTTGCGAACAACTTACAACTGGTGGATCATGTACATTAGATCTAAATTCAAAACTCTTATTTGTATCAACGGTGTCATCGAATGATGGTTGTGAATTTTGATAAAAATATGGAATACTTCAATAATTCGTCAACATGTGATTTGATTTAACAATCTAAAGCGCGCGGCACGATCAAACTGTCACGGTGAGTGTAAAATAAGTTCCTTTGCACACAATTCATGACAATGTCTGCTAGTAGTTTGGCTAGTTTTCAGAAGCGCGAACTTTGCGCGCTACGACTATTGTTTTTATTTTGTATCAGTGCGAAACCAGTATTCATTTCCGAGCACCAACGTGCATTTGTTGCCATCTTCATTTTGATGCAAACAAGCTACCTGGACGTATTTCCTGTGTAGCTCTTATATTGCCGTTTTGAGTTGTACTCTACTGAACGTTTGCAGTCTTCTAAACTACGGGGCGAGGGGGTCGTTCTCGGCGTCTGAAAATAAAAACATCGTATTACATAACATGACAATATTTTACTTTAAACATTAATATGATTTGATGCTATTGGAATATTTGTACTGGATGCAGTCATCGTTCTCGTTTTTAGTGGCTGCTTGAATGTTTATTCGCTAGGTGGACCTAACTTGGCCATATTCTGCGATAACTGCCCTCCAATTTTAGCTTTTTGTTTTCCCGAGTGAACTGTATAGAGGTAAACTTAGCGAATTGTTTTACTCAGTAGAATACAAAATTATCTGTTAGATAATATTATTTTAGTTTGATGTCTGTTAACGATTTATAAAATCTAGAAATAGATCAAAGTGAAGAATACTGTTTAATTTCAGGCATATATGATGCAGATTATTCTAAATCTTTGTCTATTGGATTGGATATTTTTTGCGTGACTGATTCGCTTTTTTGGATGCTAATTTAACTACAGAAGAGTCAGCAAACAGCGTTATGTGTGGACTTTACATTTTTGATTCACTGAATCCAAGAAGATCACAATGTACATACTTAACTTTGGCAAATTGCCACGATCCAAACCATCTCATTACTTTTGACGCTTTCCAATTTCAATTTGGTGGTCCAATCGTGGACCGAAAGAGCAATTTAAAAATAACTGTCTTGCATAATAGCTCAATATCTGCATAGTAGCATTATATGCCACATCTCCGTTTAAACCATCATATTTAAAATTGAAGTGGGATCACTTTAAATTTATAAATTATACTTGATCGATTTATTTTAAAAGTAGAATCGCATGAGAAAAATTGTTTTTTCAATTTTTTCTAGAGAAACTTGAAGATAATATTAATATATCTCACAACTTTGAAGTTTAAGCATGATTCATTTTCCAAATGTTAACACTTGGCCAATATTTGTGCGAACAGAGGACAACACTTAATTTTAACAGAATGACAGAACGACCTTCCTAATTGGACCAAAATAAGCCGCTTTACAGAGTAACAAAAACTTTAACAAATTAATACTTTTTAATCCGCAATTATGATAACAACTGACAAGTGAAACAATAGATTGTCAAATTTAGCTGTTCGATCTGTCGATTGTTTTGTTTTGAGAAATAAGGACTCTTTTTAAAATTTCTATTTGACACCTGAGCAGATGAGATAGCTAGACTGCCTCTTATTTTAATGTAGTGTCACCATAGCAACATAGTCATAACAGTGATTGTGATCAATATTTAAATTGAGGGTGACTTGATTGTGCTAAATGAATTTGTTAGCTATTTGTATGAGTGGTCAATTTGCAAGACCAAATAGTGATGAGCTTCGCAAGCAACTCAGGATTTATTGAAATATATGGTCATCTTGGGGAGATGTTTATCGCAAGTTTATTTCACACGTGACAATGATTCCGGAATTTGATTGGTCGATGCTGTTGAGCTGTTGGTCGGTTATGTTATAATATAGTGATAAAACGCACTTGAGCTGCCTCCCAATGTTTACCAGCTATTTAGTGTTGAAGTTAACGTATTGTTATTATGTTGTTGTCTTCAGTTTCTTATGCTGCCTTCTTTAACATTTGTCCAGATATCAACTTTAATAAATGTTCTTACATTTAAAGTACACATTTGAGTACATTTTTATTTGAACAATTTGATGGCTAGTTAGGAGAACCTCACGGACATCGGCAACTTGTTATGTATCCTTAATTCAATGTCATATTATTACTAAAAGTTGAAGAAAATGTAAAAATACTCGCCTGGAATATAGGGGGAGGGGGTGTAATCCTGCTACCCAGCACTTGGGCGAAACTGTTACTGTACTGTGGTCGTCCGGCCGGCCGGAGATTCTCTCATCCTTCTATCTGCACTGTTAGCAGGCGAGGGGGCTTTACCCCTGCATGCAGGTGTGGGGGCACCGCTCCCAAATGGAGAGGGGCGCCGAGACCCTGTCCCTGGCATTCTGTTCTCTTTAGCTTGCCTGGGAGAGATGGTAGGGTTTGGTATTGTCAGAAACTTTCTAGCTGGAATTTTTATTAATGCGTTGCATCGCATCACTCAGCCAAGGAACCAGCAAAAGAGTTTCTAGGTAATCTTTGATTGAAACTACCTGGCCATAATAATGAGCAATGACATCATGTACTAATATTTGTTGAAATATTCGTAAAATTCCCTATAATGAATATGATGTCATAATCGGTAAGATTTAAATTTGATAAATTTCTATAGGATCTGATCAAAGATAGCCAGTTAAAAGAACATCACACTATTCTGCCTGCAAAGATAGGTTTTAATAATATGTAAGTAACCGCTTCACAAGGAGGGCGTGATTTAAATCACGATTATATAATCATTACCAACTTTAAATCATGCTTACTGTCGATAACTCCCCACCTTATGCCACCTACAAGCAAATCTTACAAGTGCTCTTATAGTTGTACTAAAAGCTGCGCAGTATTCGTCTCTGAACTATTTATTAAACACTTGACAACGGAGCAAGCTTGCTTGATGTGCAATCATTGTCTTCTTAGTTTCAACAAGCTCCGAAGCTAACTTTGTTATCGATATTCTGTGCTCTCGTAGTTCTTTTTGCGGTCGTTTTTAATAAGCTCGTGATACTTCCAATGTTTCCTCTCTTTTCTTTACGTTCATACCGGATATGTTTCGTCGGTGGGTTTTAGTCAAGTATCGTTTCAATGTATGGTCAGTTGATGTTTCAATCTTTCGGTTTCTGTGTCTAATTGTGTTTGATTCTTGTAATTATTATTAATCTAAAATTAACTTTAAAATCTTGTCAGACGATGTCGAATTCAGTGCATAAAAGCTTGGAAACCTGCAGCCTTGCAGACTCAATCGACATAGATAGCCGAGCTATAACTGCAGAATGTGAACTGCCCCATCTCATAAAAAACGAGAATGTCAACGACTTCAGAGAACAAGCGTTTATGTGGGTTAAAAGGTACATGGGTGGTCCGTGGGCCAGGGCCGAGTTAAAACATTTCCGTTGTAAAGGAATGAGGGGGGACCTCACCAACTACCTATACGTGTGTAAACTCTTGCTGTGGGATGGTGAAAACGACGGCCTGAAAGTCCTCAAATCAGAGGCAGATTACCCCACAAAAGTCACACTAAAAGTATACGGAGAGATCGAGAACTACCAAGGCTTCAACAAAGTGGAGATGATGACCCTGAACGTGATCCTAGCTGAGCGTCACTACATTCCTAAGATATTCGCCCTTTTCCCGGACGGAAGGTTCGAGCAGTACGAGAAAAGCAGGCAGCTGCGAGCTACAGAGATTAGGAAAGCCGAGGTAACGAATACTCTGGCTGACTACCTGGCAGAGTACCACAAGATGGACATGCCGTTTGGGAAAGTAGCCGGGAGGCTGGAGGAGACCCTGGATCATTACCACTCCATGGCACTCTCCACTCACTTCGAGGACGAGGACAAGGCCAAGCTTCTAAAGAAGATAGTTAGATATAACATAGACGAGGAACTGGACACACTGAAAGATATCTGTTTTCCTTGTAACGACGAAGTGGTGTTCTGTCACAACAGTTTAGGGGAGGGTAACCTCCTCCTGACGGGCCACAAAGACGACAGACGAGTTCAGGTGGTGGGCTGTGATATGAGCTCGTACAACTACCGTTCATACGACTTCGGCCACTTCTTCGCCACAATGCAGTTTGACTTCAGCTCGTCAACCTTCCCGTACTTCACCAGAGATCGTTCCTTCATTCCGAGCGAGGAGGACCGCAGGGAGATGATTGTGCGATATGTCCGCAGGTTGGATCTGCCAGTCGCTCACCAGAATGTGACTGAGGAGAAGTTAATGGAGTACTCGGAGAAGTTCATATTGGCAGCTCATTTCCTGCACGGGTGCTGGGGTATTGTTCAGGCAGAAGTTTCCGAGCTACAGTTTGGGTATTTGGAGTATGCCCTCGCATGTTTTCAGGCTTACTTCGAGCATAAAATCTTGAACAACTTGTAGGATGGACGGTAAGCCTTTAGGTGCAAATCTTATTTTAATGTCAGCGGCCAACTGGTACAATTTTAGAAAATCTCGAGAAATAATCGAACAGACTAGGCTCTTACGCCAGGAGAGATTTGAGTTGTTTATTCTCGTTTGTAAGTCGTTTGAGCTCCTGCTGCATACCAGTTACTGTTGATTGACTTTTCTTTATGTTGTTTATTCTGTACGCTGGAATAGAAATCTCTCATTAAATATATTAACAGATTTCTTTTAATTCAAACCAACGTAAATTACAACGAAATATTATAACTTAGAAATCAGGAAGAATAGACTGGCCGTAGAATATATTATCTTAATAATGATAAATATATCTTATTCTCATAATTTATTTTCGTACAAAAATGAGGACCTGTCAAGCGTTTTCGCTGTGTTTTTTGAAAGTCCAAAACTTTGAGGAGTTGCTTGTGGAGCTTAGCAGCCACCTCCAGCGGATCCATAAAGAACAACTGAACATCTGGACTCATGTTAGGACGAAGGGGTGTTATCATACATTTGTTCTTACAAACCTGAACAAGTTGTAGTTTTACAACTCCAGAGTAAAAGGTCAGGTCACGTGTTTAAAACAGGATTGTTAGCATGTTGCTCTGCATGTGATCAGTTTTATCAGATAACTACGCGATTAAAACATTCCACCGATAAAAAGTTAATGATATCCACGAGTAACTGCGTTGCTATAGTGTCCGATGAACCATGGTTAACGGTAACAGCCTTACAGTAAATAACGGACCACTGGCTAGCATATCTAAAGTTCAAGTTTCAACAAAGCACATGTGAAGAAAGGTGACTCACCAAGCAGGGTAGTTTAGGGGCGTTGTAACATTTAGTACAGAATATATGACCGCAACTGGTGAGGAGGAATTTGTACTCCTTAGATGGAGGTGAGAGGTAACAGCCATTACAGTGGACCCAGTCCATCAAGTTCTCTTCTAGCTCTTTACATCGTGCTACAACTCTGAGTTTAAGACTTTTAGAACTTTTAGTTAAAACGAATAACAGTTTCATGTGAGTTGCCGAAGTGTTCAGTTGAATTGTACAATGCATATTGTGCGCCTGTTCCCCAAAACTTGATTCAAGAGATAGTTTTAACGGAAGACATAGAACTCCATTCAGCCTACTAGAGGCGCTCCAAATCTTAAAAACTGTAGTCGTGACTGACTATTGTTGGAAACTAAATTTTACATCGAAACATCTTGTCTCATTCAATTTAACATCGAGATTATAAAAGTATATATAACATTTAGTGATAAAGTTGTTTTGAAGTGAGTTCGGCACATTTAAAAGTCAAACACTTTCGCTGTGAAAGATGATCAATCAAAAACATTGTTAATTTTATTTACGTTTTCGTAAGCAATCTTCCGCAGAAAATCCGCATCAGGATTCAGCCAATTAAAAATAGAGTTATTGTTTAAATTTTGAATTATTCGAGTCAGTAACGAATTGCAGTAAACATCATGATATAAATTTATAAATATGTAAAAACAAAATAACAAGTAAATATAGATCACTTTAATTAATGAATGAAATAACGAAATAAATACACATATATTGTAAGCAAGTAAATATTCATTCAAGTTAGTTACCGTTTAATTTCTGAACTAAAGTTTAACAGACTCTATTATTATGAGTGTAAGGTAAAAGCTAATCTTTTATGACCTCATTTTCATTCCCAGTCAATGGTGAATGGACTTAAAAGATTCCTCTGAATCGGGTCTGTCAATATTTCCACGGCCCTCGCTATCTTCAAAATAAGTCAGTAGTTCATTGGATTGAGATTGTGGTAAGGGATCCCTCGCTGTCTCACCGTTTTGAAAGAGAGTTTCTAGCTGCCTCATTAGAATCATGTTGTGAAAGAGAGTTTCTAGCTACCTCATTAGAATCAGGTTGTGAAAGAGAGTTTCTAGCTGCCTCATTAGAATCAGGTTATGAAAGAGAATTTCTAGCTGCTTCAATAGAATCAGATTGTGAAAGAGAGTTTCTAGCTGCCTCATTAGAATCAGGTTGTGAAAGAGAGTTTCTAGCTGCCTCATTAGAATCAGGTTGTGAAAGAGAGTTTCTGGCTGCCTCATTAGAATCAGGTTGCGAAAGAGAGTTTCTAGCTGCCTCACTAGAATCAGGTTGTGAAAGAGAAAAAGCCGCTTCTCTTATAGATTCAGAGACCGAGGCAGAATTTATCTCTCCTCCATGCGCTTTAAAGCGCCTTGATGAAGTCTTCCCTGCTTTTTTGAAGTCAGATCTTGGGAGAAAATCCCTGGTTGTTCCAACGGAATCTGATTGAGAAAGAGGAGCTCTCGTTATTACAATAGATTGAGACCGTGAGAACGAACTTGTCCCCGTCTCGTTTCCCACACTCAAACTAGTTTCATCCGGTGAGGTTGGTCCTCTTTGTATGCCGTTCAACAAGTCCATGATATCGTCATCATCATTATCATCGCTAGAACTATCAGCAAAGGATTCAATGATTTTCTTATAAGACGAGTATGAGTATGCGTATGTCTGCTTCACTTCATCTCCCTCCTCCTCGGAATGTATCTGATAAACTGGGGAGGTGTAGCGCCCATCATCATTATCTGAGTCCGAGTCCGAGGAGGAGTCCTCCACTGCGACTCCAGAATATCCAGCCAGTTTCTGGGTGGTTTTGCAGTAGGGACACTTTTTATCTGTGTCCGACCAACACTCCAAGCAGTACTTTATCTCGTAACCTTAAGATTTTGACAGAGATTAATTTCACAGTTGGTTTAAAAGAGGATAATGAATAATCAAACCATCAAATTCATGCTATGAACATGAAAATAGACTTAACATGATAATAGACTTCACATGATAATAGACTTCACATGAATTGCTATATTGAATTGATAAATTCGTAATGGATTGAATACGGTAAAAATAATCAATATTTTACCGTGTCCAAAGCAGAACAGACAAGAAGAGTGGATACCACAGTCGCCACACACAACGCAGCTGTGCTTTATCAAGCGGGGGAAGTATCGTCTTAACATGGACTGCTTAGGTAAACATCCTCTCTTATCCTCGACCTAGTTAATAAGTTAATAATTCAACTATATTTAATTAGATAACAACATGAACAGCGAACCAAACTATCAAATGTATCTAGGCAATTCATTTAGTCAGACTGTGTTTTGGGGATTTTCACCATCCACTATTATGATTTTCTAGGATAATTAGCGGAAACTCCATATCTAATTACTGAATATCATGTTCAAACGCAAACACAGTAGCTTTTGCAAAGAAATACTCCATCTTGCTAGAGTATGTGGAGTAAAATGAGCAGATGTGATGAGGTTGAGTGTGGCAAGTCCTTTTCTTCTTAGCGGGTGTCTTACCAACACTCAACATGTCTGTGTGAAAGTGATGACCTGCTGCTCTTTAATAGTTCACACGTACTCTTGAACAGAGGGCTTTGGGTCTGACGTCCCTTGACACGAGAACCATCCCCACAAGCAAGGGTTCCCGTCCCTTATTTTGTGATCCACGAATCAAGCTGACAAAGCTGAAAGCTATGATGTACAGAGTTTTCAAAAACATGAGCAAGAATCAACCGCGACCTCTTGCTGTTTTTTGGCGTGAATCCTATAAAATTTACAACATAAAAACAATGTTGAAGAAATGCTAACTGCCGTTGATCTTCAAGAGAGTATGCTTTGGTCTACGGAAGTCTATTGTTCTTAAAGTTGACAACTGTTGGTATTTCAGGAATTTTTCAGCTCATTGTTTGTCCATAAGTTGAGTGGAGTACTATACGTTTTGAGCACACATATTTGTGTAGACTGCTGTAGTGCTGTCTCTCAATTCCTCAAATCTCCTCAAATTCCTCAAATCTCGTCTGATCTGCAACTGTCCAACAGGGTCCACAGAGTATTAATTGAGCTTATCAAACGAAGGGGGACAACAAAGCTATTAAATTTTAAAGCTGTGCCAGCAAGTTTTGTTGTGGAGACTAAACAACAACATAACAAAATCCATAATTGCCTTGAATCAGTAAATTAAACTGAAATCTATGGGTCACATCATCAATCAACCGCTACTGGTTAGGTGCCATGATCAGATCAATTTTTACTGGGACTAAGCCAGGATTCTGCTCGATCCTTGAGCATGAGGATAATAATTATTGAGTATTTTGAAGCAGTTCAGATTGTATATATCGAGAGACTAAAGTCTTGTGCCCCCTCCCCTTTCCTCCTCCCCCTCCTCCTTGTACTCACTAGTATTTTAAAACAGTCCATCCGGCGTTGTTTGAGGAATCTGTAAAGGAACTGAACACGCAAGTTCTCGCGATCGGGATAAAACCAGGCACAGATTCTCCGAACTGATCGTTGGGAGTATATCTGAAATTAGGTATAATCAGGAGAATTTACGAAGGAAAATATAATTCAACTAACCTGGAAGAAGTTGAGAAGTAAAATATAATTCAACTAACCTGGAAGAAGTTGAGAAGGACGATAAGAAGAATAAAGACACAGATACAGAGAGCTCTTTGCTGATCAGGTGGAGAACCGTCTGGCAGACAGTTGTTGTTGTCCTGAAGGGGGTGGGGGATCAGAAGGGTTTAAAGTTTTAAACCATTCACATTTCACATTCATAAAACGTGCTAAACTCCTCATTCGATGTACAGGTTTGCTAGTTTTCGCTTTAAATTTCAACTAGATAATAAATTGTGACACTGTCGCCTGGCAAATTTGTCTTCCCTCCGCAAATGACACTCTTGATTAACTCTACTTTACTGATAATAATAACTCGTTTGTTTTATAGAATCAATAAAAAGGTTATTGTGGAAAGAACACATCATTGATTAACCCAGCTAATTCCGGTTTTTCTTCATGCTGATCCAAGATAATACTATACATGTATGTATATGTAAAAATTGTAAATCACAATAAAATTACATAGAAATCTATCCCAATTTTCACCGTAAAATGTATTGATCCAGACGTGATAATAATTAATCTATCATAATATACTTCAATATCAATAACTATTATCTGAGAAACAAATTTTTACACGACAAAAAATAAATATGGAGAGGTCGTGCTGCAAATAAAAAATCAGAATACATTTTATATACTCAAATTTGCACTTTAATAGCGAAAATAACTTAAGTCTATTATACAATTTTTGTAGTTTATTTAAGTCCAGTTCACGAATATAATAAATTTTATAGTTTAATCATTTAAATCTAGTATAATATACTCTTATACTTCATCATCAATAATCATGATCTTAAAAACAAATGTTTACATGAATCTTTGTAGTTCAATGTTATAAGTCCAGTTCACCAATATATATTCAGCTCAGAGTGTTAAAGTTTGGGATTATAGCATTATGGCTCTTTATTCTCCTACTGGAGTCAGGAGCTAGTTGAAGAGATCAGTGCTGTTGTAAGGTCCGTTGCCCCACACTTGAACCTCCAGAACTATTATGTAGTCAGCTCTCGGCTGATGGAGGGTCACCTTGGACCCATACACCACTTTCTCTTCAGGAAGGGTAAAGTCGTGGAACCCCCAGTCACCCGACGCTGTCCCCACCAAAGTGTCATCCACATAGATGTTGGTGCCGGAGAACCTCGGTTTACTAGCTTCACGGGTATTCCACACTCTTACACTGTACACGCGGAACAAACCCCCTAACTTTATCCACATTTTATTATCTGCAGCACCACTACTTGTGTGAGTGTAGGTCCTCATATCACCTGGAGTATTGGTACTGAAGACAAACTGACCATCCACTGCTAGTCCGGGGTTATAGTCACGAGAACTATGAGGATTATTCTCGCCGGTAAGTTTAAACAAGGATATGAGCCTAATTTCTGATAACCACACATTCTGTCGAGTTTGTATTGTTGTTCCCAGCTTGATTGATTTCTCAGACAGCTCCAGAGAAGTGTCCAACTTCTTCTCAATGCTTGAAGTTTCGTTAATCAACATAGTCTGCAGATAGTCCACCTTTTCGCTAACCTCTGACGCAACACTGTTCAGCTTTTCATTAACTCGGTCAATAACCTCGGAAGCAACACTGTTCAGCTTTTCTTCCATCTCCTCTTTTTCCGAAGCCTGGTCAGTTTTATCCTCTGAGAACGCTGATATCGCTGCTTCTATCCGATCAAGACGATCCAAAATACTGTCCAGAGTTTTACTGTCCTTCATCTCAGGATCATCATCGCACGCACTATTTTGACTCTCAACGAAGGAAAAGGCCCGATCCAAGATATCTAAAACTTTGTTAAGCGCCTTGAAACCCTCCTCTTGAATAGCCTGGGACCGGTCCAATATTGTAGTAACACCCTCTTGTTGAGAGGGAGGGGGGGCTAGTTGAGAGGAGGCTGTTGTTATACTAATGGTAGCTAACCACACACAGCAGAACAAAGACCATGGTGTTACACAGGTTATATAAATATACGAACGGGAAACTTTATAAAACATAACGTAAGGAAGTAAAGGAGGTAAAAGAGGTTGAGAGAGTGAGAAGAAGAGGGTACAAAGTAGCATCCAGCTGTGATAAGACGAGGCAGTCTTATTCTGATTAGATTCGGTGCTGCATCTTATCTTTTATTAATTATTGCGCCGGAAGAAGGCGTGCTTCATACAGAAGTCTAATCTAATACACATAATAATATGTATTTAGAAGATTCACCTTCCTCAGACATTAATCATCTGAAATCTGAATGAAGAATAATTTTTTGGGGAGTGAAATTTACGGAGATGGGACAGATTCCAACTTTGATAAATTAGATTATTTATCTTCGACTAGGGTATTGACTATTGAATATGGATATTTCAAGTTAAATTGTGGCTACCAAACTAATTAAAGGGACAGTATAAGCCATTATTTCTGTAATATATTGGGGCATCAGCCCAATACATTTTAGTTTTACATGTTTGTATACATAGTATTATATAGTTATCTGGAGGGACACTTATGTTTGAGATAAATTAAACTAAAGTCCTGTTACCTGGGTAAATGAAAGGTGGTTGAGTGTGTTAACTTGGGGTATACCGTCCACCATTCCCTTTGTCCAACTCCCCCCATCACTCTGCAACAGAACCCCTGTCTTAATGTACACCTCATACACTATATACCCAGTATCCGATATATCCTCCATGGTTCCGTATACCTGCGAGTCAAGGAACACTATGGCGAGGAAGAGGAGCGAGAATAGGAGGTGTTTTAGACTTGCTATCACAGCTGGCTTCAGTTCGTCTCTAGATAAACACTTCTGACTCCCATCTCGTACAAATGTCTGTTGGAGGAAAGGGCTGAGATGTGATCTATAATTACAGATATTATATTTAAAGCAGAAATATTTAAAGTTGGCTGCCGAGACAGGGAAATCTCGGGTCGTACCGAATAAACTACACTTAGAAAATTAATTTGTGATTTTCAGTGACAGCAACTGCAAAATTAACTGTTGTAGACATTTAGTTGAAGTATAAAGCAGACTAAAGAATTAACGCTGTACCTTCATGTATACAGGAAGAGGGAAGGTGCGGTGATGGGAGGGCAGACAAGCGTCCAGTTTCAGAAGCTGTGTCGTCACCACGTTGTTAAGGTAAGACAGTCCCGTCAGGTACTTCACCTGTAACATTGACAGTATGTGACATTACTGTGACAGTATGTGACATTACTGTGACAGTATGTGACATTACTGTGACAGTATGTGACATTACTGTGACAGTATGTGACATTACTGTGACAGTATGTGACATTACTGTGACAGTATGTGACATTACTGTGACAGTATGTGACATTACTGTGACAGTATGTGACATTACTGTGACAGTATGTGACATTACTGTGACAGTATGTGACATTACTGTGACAGTATGTGACATTACTGTGACAGTATGTGACATTACTGTGACAGTATGTGACATTACTGTGACAGTATGTGACATTACTGTGACAGTATGTGACATTACTGTGACAGTATGTGACATTACTGTGACAGTATGTGACATTACTGTGACAGTATGTGACATTACTGTGACAGTATGTGACATTACTGTGACAGTATGTGACATTACTGTGACAGTATGTGACATTACTGTGACAGTATGTGACATTACTGTGACAGTATGTGACATTACTGTGACAGTATGTGACATTACTGTGACAGTATGTGACATTACTGTGACAGTATGTGACATTACTGTGACAGTATGTGACATTACTGTGACAGTATGTGACATTACTGTGACAGTATGTGACATTACTGTGACAGTATGTGACATTACTGTGACAGTATGTGACATTACTGTGACAGTATGTGACATTACTGTGACAGTATGTGACAGTATGTGACATTGTGTTACAGTACTTAGACACGGGACATTACGTACGATAATATCACATGTCATTTCCTGATACCTAACAGGTTATTCAGAGACGCCACTAAACAAGAACATATTGGGACATAAAAGGACATAACATCATCTGACAATCACGGGTTGGCATGACAACATGATATTGAATATCTAAGAACCTGATGTGTTATCGCACCCGCAAGAACCATGGTAAGCAGCACAAGAGATACCAAGTTTATGGCCATGGTGATGAAACCGCCTACAGTATTCAGTTCGTTCATCAACTTCTTGAAACTGAAATAAACGTGATATGATATAATCCGAGTAGGTCGTTTGCTCACAACTGATAAAAGTGTCTAGTAAGAATTTAAAATCTAACATCTACAACTCACTGCTCTTTAGTTAAAGGACGAAAAATCCGCGAAGTGATCAGCTATTGAAATGAAGTACAACTTTTGATAAGACTAACTTTGTTTATTAAACAAATACTCAATTATTGTTCGATCAATTAGTAGATTATAAAAATCAACAATGCTTACCCAGTAGTAATCAAAGTGTTGTCCACCTTGATATTACTTTCTGACGAAAGCTGGATTTTAGGGTCCTTGTATTGCTCTCCAAACTTAGACACTGAGTTTTTTATACCCTGAAGAGTGTTTTCATAGGTTAATTTATTATCTCTTAAATCCACTGTTGGAAGCAAGTTAAGAAGCTGAGGGATGAACATAAAGATCATTTATTGAACAGTATTCTAGGAAATATATGTTTGATTACTGTATAAACTTTTCGTTAGGCAATAAGCAATTTGGTTTTAATATTATATATGTGTTATCACGTTATCATTCTGCTCAGGTTGTTCGCCACGAGGTTGAGAATATAAGTATAATTAATCAAAAATCTTAATAGTTATTCAGTTTGTTTGTTCAGATGCCGGAAGCCCATATTCAAACGATGGTTGATCACCTCTATAGCACTGGAAAATAGGAGGCCTTCTTATAATCGAATTAATTTATTATTAATTAATTTATTATTAATTAACTTATTGTTAATTAATTCATTGTTAATTTATTCATTGTTAATTTATTCATTGTTAATTTATTCATTGTTAATTTATTCATTGTTAATTTATTCATTGTTAATTTATTCATTGTTAATTAATTCAATCAGTTATTTTTGCCTAGTAAAATTAATTCTGTATTTATGACAAAAATGAACCCTTTGCTTTTAGTTATTATCGACAAACAAAATATATAGTGTCATAAAGCTATTGAGGTAATAAACCAGATCTAAAAATATTACATACTATAGCATTAATAAGATCGGAGATTATACCTACTATCGTTTTATACGTATATCTAGTACATATTATAGTACTACTACGTAATCTGTACTATACGTTTGTTTATTCTAAGATTTCGAATTCCGATCTCTTTTTATAGTATCAAATACCCTAAATTGAACTACAGAAATAGGAGTCAAAACAAAGCAGAGGATTGTTTCATAAATATATCAAGAAAAAGCCCATTTTTATATATTGTCTCTTCCACTTCTTAAGAGAGATAAATTCCAACCAGGCGACAAACAACAGGTTAGTTTCTTCTAGCCTTCTTGGTGTCCATGTATCTGTAATGCAGTGGTGATTTTGTGAGAACAGGGCTCATGGTCAGGGTCTTTTGGTCTAATATGGGACTTTTCCTTGAGCTTTTAGATGTCGATATCAGGCTCCGAACCCGATTCCCAAATCCAGTAACTAGGTCTTGGATATTCCTCATCCTCAAACAATAAAGCCACGGGTGAAAAAAGAGGGACATGAAGGTGAGGAGAATGAGGTAGAGATGTTGTCTGTAGTTCTTATCCTTGCCAAAGAGATGATTAGTCCAGGCGTAAGCAAAGGGGAAGTTGGTTAAGGCGAAGGTTGATGCGATGAGTAAGACAACGATGCTGTTCTTTAAAAGCTTTAGATTCACCTCAAGTCTGTGCTGGCGTGTGAAGTACCCTACGAAGGACTTGTCAAAGACTATCACTAAGATGAATATGTTAGAAACCAGTATGATAACCCAGGAGACCCCAATGAGGGCACCCATGATGGAAATGTAAGCTGTATTAAATCCAGGGAGCTTGGCACTTGGCATGAAGTCTACCATGCAGGTCAGAGGGGTATAGTACTGTTCATCAGCTGAATCTGAATCTATAACAACGTCATTGTAGTAACTACAATGCACGATGTTTTCCGTTGATGTTCGTAGAACATATATCACAGGGGCGATTCTTAGTAGAGGTAGGATGACTATGATCCAACAGACGATTTTAACTCTGCCCTTGGTGGCTATCATCATGTACTTCAAAGGACGAAGGATGTGCAAGCATCTTTCTGCAGATATCACAGCAACTACTATCACTCTAAGAATGTACAGATACTCAAAAAGTAGATACGCAATATCTTCGGTGTAATACACCAAGAACTTGTTTTCCCGGAGTTGCTTCTCAAAAGTTAGTCGGATACCGATTGGTAGTCCCAGGAGCAGAGAAAGAGCAAAGTCAGAACTTGTCAGCAGCATGCAGAGAAGAGTGGAATTGTAGTAGACTGAGTCACTGATCCGTTCCCAGTTCTTTACCACTATTCCCACAAGAAACCCATTGACAAGAACGAAGATAACAGACACCGGAAGTAAAAACAAACCGGAGCAGTGTAAGTCAGCCAGGGTTATAGGATCAGGGAGGTCCAGCACTGGAGTAGTATTTTCAATGTTAGAAGTTACTGGAAGTGTCATTAAAGGAGTTATCGTTTTTCTATCCCCGGTAGTGCTGGAAATGGAGGAGCGTACCATGAACAGCAACATGATCAGCATCAGGTGGGTTTGTTTTAACTTTTGCATCTAGCAGAAATTGAAATCTTTGAGTGGAACTAAAACCGATCCCTTCCTGGTGAAAATATAAATGTCAATTTTTATTTAAAGTGATGAAATATTACACCTGATGTAATAAGATGTGTTGCTTGTTCTGAATCGATCAAAAATTCAGATGGAAAATACGTCAAACGAAATCAAAAACGAAATTGCCTGGTCAGTGGTCATCGATTTCGCACGCCATCGGCGAAGACCAACCCGTGATACCAAACTAACTATCGTTATTGAATGCTGCTTGATTAATGAAATAGCATTGAGCTAATATTGTTCTATTGTTTGGGCAATTGTTGATGATGACGCACTCTGTTGCAATGATCTAGAATTTTCACTCCAAAACTATTGCTTTCGCATCTTGCAAGATGAGACCCAGAGACCATGCTCTTTAAAGAATATTAATGGCTATGAGCTATTTAATTATCTTGGCCCTCCTCAAATAAAATCAAGCATCAAAATAAAGAATTCTTCAACAAGAGCTTGTTTGGCAGTGTTAGCAGGTTACTGATTACAAAGGATGCGTATGACTAAAGTGGGATAATCATAAAGGATCCTAGGATGGATCTTATTCTGTACGGTGATAGATTTGATTGAAAGATAGGGTTAAAAGAATGGGATCATATAAAAGTTCATAAATTCTGATAACAAGTCAGTGTACTTGTAGATAAGGCTCTAGCGCTCACTAACACAAGTCTCAGATAAAATAACGGTGATAGCTGACTGTACAAATAACAACTCCAGAGGTCAGGGCAACTGTTTAAAGTGAAATTATGATCACGATCATTTGGGAGTTGTGACACCAACCCTGATTATGTTACGTTACGAAACTACTAGGTTCCGTACAGACTCAACTCTGCACCCGTGTCAATATGTTCATTATATGCAAGCCTCTTGATTTATAAGTTATAAATATAGGCTATCATTCATTTTATATTATTTGACTGAGGCGTGTATGAAAGCCAGAGTTACTTTGCAGGGGTCTTTTAGCACAACCTCTAGAGTCTAAAGTAATGACTTTAAGATTTAATCAATTCTTATACAATTTGAGTTCCTAATAAAAATTTGGGGAACAGGTCGCCATGTTATAATTCGATCTTGCTATAATTATTGTTATGAAGAGATTCTATTATTTATAGGATCAATTTATATTGTATGTTGTAAATTGATTAGGAAATTGTGATTGGAAAATAAGCAGACACAAAATGGAGACGGTTTGAAAGGAAGGAAGGTAACTAAACAAGATAACATAAAATCTTTCTTAAATTAAACTTCAAATTCCCAAAAGCCAAAAGTTTGGTGTTGTCACATTGTGCTGTACCCTGTACATACCTTGTAGTGACGTTAACATGTTGACATGTGCACTAATTAGTTCTAACTGAACTATTTGAATTGTCGGTAGTTCTTTAAAGTGGGTCTATCAGGTAAAATCTGAGGGCACCTGAGTTGGGGGACGTCTGCTGAAAACTTGAGAGTTTTACACTTTAAATTTCTGATTGGTAATCCTTTTTGTGGGTTCTAGGGTGAGTTACCTCGTCTGAGATTGAGTGGGAATGGTAATACTAAATTATTAGTTATATCACAATTATCTCATACCAGATTTTGACAGTCATGAAATCAATTTTAATCATCCAACAACTCACAATAATTATTTTACCCTTTCAAGAAGTAATGAATAAGATATCTTCTAAATCTTATATAATTTTACAATAATTCGTTGAAAAACTAGGCCAGAAGGCTCAGTGCAACACGACTTATGAAATAGAAAATTCTTCAAAAATATCCAATATACATTATACAAGCTTTGAAAAAGTCTTTCACGTTTCGATTTTCAGATAAAATAAAATGCGTTAGTTCGTTATTCTCATTTCCCGTACCGTCGCAATTATCTTCGCGTAATTAGGACATCATATAAACTTCAAAAAATTGTGAAGTTTCTGAAAATGAAAACGCAATTCTTGTGAACACCCTTCTAGGTCATCATCTGCTTATCAGTTGAATCTTAGTCCGATACTATTACCTAGATTCCTTTTTCTCTTTTATTGTGGTATCTTTTATCTTGGTACTTTTGCACAGAGGATGTAACGGCTACTTCCATATTGTCTAATGTCTATTAGTTCATAGGTTCTAGTTGAAAAGGCTTGAGCCGAAGTGTCCATGGTAAATATCTCACGTGCGCTATTTGTCTTTACTGGTCAAGCGATCGCAGTTAGCCAATGTATACTAACGGTCTTGGGGGATGTTAGTATACTTCTCTGAGTATACGTTGATCATTCCGATGGTAGATTATGGCGATATAATTAGCACTGGTCTGTGATAGTTCAAGCGGATGACTCCTTTATAGGTACCTTGGCAGTTGGTCCTACAAGGTCCTTGGACCCAACACGGGTATATTCTTTAGTGGTCTGTGGCATTGAGGTACTCCTGCGTACAGTACTCATGACCATGATGCTTGTAGTTGATGCCCTTGAATTCGTCTTAAAACTATGAACCCTTTGCTTGAATCCGGTGACCAGATCTCGGATATTCTTCATCCTCAAACAGTAGAACCAGGGGTGGAAGAAGAGGGACAGGAAAGCAAGGAGAATGAGGTAGAAATGCTGTCTGTAGTTCTTATCCTTGCCAAAGATGTGGGCAGTCCAGGCGTAAGCATAGGGGAAGTTGGTGAGGGCAAATGATGAAGAGATAAGTAGCACAACAACACTACACTTCATTAACTTTAGATTCATATCAACTCTGTACTGACGAGTAATGTATCCGTCGAAGGCTTTGTCAAAGATCACCACCAGGATGAAGATATTAGAAACCAGTATGGTTAACCAGCTAATACCGATCAAGGAACACATGATGGCGATATCAGCTATTTCGAAACCAGGAAGCTTATCAGCACGCATATCGAGCATGCAGGTCAAAGGAGTGTGGTAGCCTGAGTCTTTACCGTCGTCAGAGTAGTAGGTGCAATGTACGTATGTATCATCTGCACTTAGGGCATATATCACAGGGGCGATTCTTAGAAGGGGCAGGATGACTATGATCCAGCAGACGATTTTAACTCTGCCCTTGGTGGCTATCATCATGTACTTGAAAGGACGAAGGATGTGCAAGCATCTTTCTGCAGATATAACAGCAACTACGATCACTCGAAGAATGTACAGATACTCAAAAAGCAGATACCCAATATCCTCGGTGTAGTACACCAAGAACTTGTTTTCCCGGAGCTGCTTCTCAAAAGTTAGTCGGATACCGATTGGTAGTCCTAAGAGCAGAGAAAGAGCAAAGTCAGAACTTGTCAGCAGCATGCAGAGAAGAGTGGAATTGTAGTAGACTGAGTCACTGATCCGTTCCCAGTTCTTTACCACTATTCCCACAAGAAACCCATTGACAAGAACGAAGATAAGAGACATAAGAAGCAAAAAGGTGCCTGAACTTTGTAGGTCATTCAAGGTTAATGGATTAGGACTCTTTACGACAGTAGTGTTATTAGATGGAGGATGAGTTTCATTGTATGAAATAGTAGGTGTGGTAGTAGGTTCTATATTCTCTTTGGAGTCAGTAGCAAAACCACTGACAACCAACAATGACAATGTTATCAGGAGTAGTGTTATCTTTGTCATTATGTTGATTTCTTTCCTGATAAGGATATAAAAGATATAAAAACGCTGCAAAAATATCCCAAGTACAGATAATTCAAAGAAATTGTAATTTACGTTCGAACAAAGCATTATCATATGACGTATTGCTTTACTCGAACGTTCTTGTCAGCCAAACTCCGTCTTCTCTGTCTAAATTTTCCCCATAGGACTTGCAAAATTTAGATCAGTTCGACAGATTGCAAAGTAAAGCTTTCAACAAAAAAACACAATAATAAAATTGGTATATTATCGGCTAATATTATAAACCACAATGTCGAGGGAATGCACAGTAGGGAAATGCTGAATAACACTGACACCGATGATGCAAACTAAACGTTTTAATAAAACCGCAATTATAGTCGAGTGCTTTTAGGTTATTTGAGGTTTACTTGATAAATAAATGCTTTGTATTCCCTTTTAGATGACGGAAAAGGAGTAATTCTATGTCGCCAGTAGATTGTGACACATAGCCAGGCCATTGTTGACAGTGCAGCAGCATAGATTAAGATAAATCAGGACGACATGTCCAAAGAGTTTATTTCCTGTTCAAAAAGGACTAAACATACAAGATAGTAGTGGAAATATGCTAGACTATTGTTTGTGTGAATTTTCTGACATACTATACCATGATCTGATAATAAACTCGGCAAAAGACAGTCGACAGATCCTGTGTCTACTGTAATCATGTGACGAAAAGATGAGTTAATGATGTACGAAGCAACCATCTCAATATGAACAGAGAAATGCTTATAATGCAACACTTTTACCTCCCTGTGAAGAACATGCAATAGGCTTAATGAAAACGAGAAAAATTCTAAATTCCTTAGATAAAGTTTTTTTTCTCTACTGGATCCGTTAACAAATCTGGTTCATTTTAGAGATAAAATAGAATAAAAACCTGACTGTCATATTTTAGCCATTCTTAGATGATAGCAAGATCTTAAAGGGTAATTGGGCACCGTTCCAGTCCGATAAAGTCAATAACAGAGGTGAAATTCGAGGTGAACATGAACGTCAGACATTTTTTAGAAAAATATTGAGTATATTTTTGCGTTTCTTATAATACCATATTATCACCAGATTTACAAAGTTCGAAGAGACCAATATGAGAACAACTAGAAAATGCTACTCTTACAAAATCGAGATCCTTTAAAAAACGGATTAACTATCGAAAGAAAAGGAACAAATGCAAGGTAAACCATACAAAAATATACAAACTGTGAATTTAAAATTCTTAGCCAAAGTATTATTATATATCATCACTTGGACATTAATTTTCACCGTAAATCTTATGGATTCATTGATTAAGACGTTTAACTAATATTTTAGACGTTTAACTAATATTTTACAGTCTTACTAGGATCCATTCTTTATTACGTTCAGTGGAGTATTTTTTAATCGTCAGAATGTGCTATTATTAAGAAAATTGTAATTAGGACATTATAAAGGAGTCTTAAAGTTCGCAAATGTAGCTTAAAGTTCGCAAATATAGCTTCATTAAGACACTTTGTACTAACGTCGTAGTAACGTTGTAGTAGCGTTGTAGTAACGTTGTAGTAACGTTGTAGTAACGTTGCACTAGCGTTGCACTAACGTTGCACTAACGCTGCAATACCGTTGCACTAACGCTGCACTAACGTTGCACTAACGTTGCACTAACGTTGCACTAACGCTGCACTAACGTTGCACTAACGTTGCACTAACGTTGCACTAACGTTGCACTAACGTTGCACTAACGTTGCACTAACGCTGCACTAACGTTGCACTAACTTTGCACTATCGTTGCACTAACGCTGCACTAACGTTGCACTAACGTTGCACTAACGTTGCACTAACGTTGCACTAACGTTGCACTAACGTTGCACTAACGTTGCACTAACGTTGCACTAACGTTGCACTAACGTTGCACTAACGTTGCACTAACGCTGCACTAACGTTGCACTAGCGTTGTAAAGCCCATGGTATTAACAGCGAGTAATAATCTCACAGTGTAGCTGGACAATGGCGAGTGGTAACCATAGTTACACCCCCGCCAACAATCTCCTCAACAATGATCCAGGGATCTCAGGATTGCTTGATGTTAGGTAACTGTGCCATGGCCCATTGTGAGCGGAGAGGCTTAGAGTTGAGATTATGCTTAATGCAAGAGCCATCCGACTATTTTACGACTAGAGATTTCAAGCTTAAAGACACATAGCATTATCCTGCAATTAAATAAATACCTACATTCCAGACAACGGTGTGTTACCATGCAGGCAAGCATCCAGTTTGGATCATTTGAACAGGAGTTTATGAACAGTAAGCAGAATATAAAGCCATGAGCCGTCAACAATAACTACTACTATTATAATAGCTCTAGCTCAATACTAATTATATTTAATGAACAACATGTTCAATGTTCATTGTTCAACGACTTCGACTAACGTGTCACGTGATCAAATATACAAACAAACAGATCAAGAGATTGAGGATGTCTAAAGAAAGAAGGAAAATTAACCTTAAAAGAGTGAAAGGGGAATGGGGAAATAACTAGCTTCGATTCATAAAGTTTTCAAGTTGTGTACGTCATCATCTCATTACCGTACAGGAATATAATATAATCTCACATGATGAATAAATAATTTGTCGCATGATGTTAAAATACTTCACCTTTTCACCAATCCATACGTTATATTGGGGGTCTGAAACAATACGCAGTAATACGCACCAATGTGTTCAAACTTTGGAGATGTTAAATATGTCATGTAATACGCGAACAATTAGCGTAGCAATATGATACGCCCGCGCCAAAATACAAACAAATTCGAATTCGTTGATCACTAATCATGTACAGTAATTATGGGTTCATGAAGTAAGTAAAATAACTTATATAAGACTTACCATCCCAGTGGCTGGATTTTTAAATTGACAAGGAATCAAATTTGTTCAACCAAATTTTGCTACTTTTAGTTAAATACACGCTATATCTTAAAAGCGAAGATCTTGCAATTCAAGGCAGACAATGCTAAAAACTAAAACCGCAGATCTGAACTAGGGTCTGCACTTTCGGTTCAAAATATTTTATCGAGATACCGTAATCGATAAATTTTGAGGAATTATCGAGATACTATCGGTCGATAATTTGACCATCGAATTTGAGCTGATAAAATCTAAGTAAGGTATTCGGATTTCGGTACACAAGTCGGCACACGTAAGTCATTTATATTTTATACATAAATCTTAAATCCTTAGAGCCATTTCAAGAATAAAATAAGAGCAACAGTGAACCGCCGAAAATTGTACAACCTTAGGAGACATATCAGTTAATAACTGAGACAAGTTTATTATTCTGTTCTTTTTATTCTGGAATTTGTTTTGTGGGGCGCGTGCCCACGCCCTGAGAAATACCTTACTTTTGTTTTGGTTATCTTTTAATCAGAGGAATGCTGTTCCTGGCTCTTGATAATATTTCTCTTTAGAATTTAGATTACCAACCAATAATAATAACAATACTATAGGACACGTGACATACATCATAACAAGCTCTAGTCTGCATTTAGAATGAGGTAGGACTAGGTACAGTATATAGACTATCACTAAATAGTATAGACTAGATAGTATAGACTGGTATGCAGTAATTATAACACTAGCATTACTATTGTTCATGAGAAACAGCATAATTATCAAGGTAAATTTCTATGTTTAATAATTTGTTGTTCATTTTAACGGTTATCAGTACCAAATTATCGAGATAAACCGATTTAACGATTTTGACCCAATTATCGTCGATAAAAAGTTACAATAATTGTAACCTTTTATCAAATTTTCACCATAATTATTACGGCTGTAACATTTTGGCTTTTATGTAACTGGAAATGATGGCATCTGATATTTCTGAATAGCCAATTAAGTAATTTTAAGGATTAATTTCTCTGATGATAATAGAAGACTAAAACAAATAGTATCAACTGATAGAAAGAACGGATAATAATATTGCACATGTTTGGAAAGCATTAATAGATAGAAGTTGCACAAAATATGTATCATCCCAGGACGTGACGGATAATAACCCAATTGCTTCATGAGGTATGTAAATTGTATACCTATATCCCTATGACACTGTCTCTTCACAGTCTCTACACTGTCTCTACACTGTCTCTACACTGTCTCTACACTGTCTCTACACTGTCTCTACACTGTCTCTACACTGTCTCTACTATCACACTGTCTCTCGAAGAAGAATTTGATAATGTTTTCAGAGACATTTTTTTAAAAGTCTGTATTAATTAACTATTTTACAGATACCGAATCGAGTCAGCTGACAGCTATGCAAATTATTTTCAAGGTCGAACGCCAATAATTATTATAATTATGCAATCTTTTCTAAACCATGCAATATTCGTCACTTTTCCGAACTGTCCGAGTCCAAAACTGACAAACTCTACACATGATCCACAGCACAGAATTAGTATTGGGTAACAAAATGGATCGCTAAATTAAGCGAGAGACTTTTCTAAAAGTTATCCCTACTACTACTACAAGGTCAGAAATATATTCGGTTGTTAGCCAGATAGCTCCCTCCATATATATCACTGTCCCGTCTTAAGAGTTTGTTTCAACTTTCTTCAATAACAAAGAAAAATAGCGTCTAACACTAATAGTTAGATCTCCATGATACATAACATGAGTGTGTGAATTAAGTCTCGAGTCTCGACACGCCCCCAGGCGCAGGCCCAGATAGAGAATGAAACATTTAATGGCGGATTTCATTCATCAGACATGAATTATAGTCTATAAGTCTATATAATGGCTCATGCCTGCAAAACAACAAAAGTGCGACGTTGAAGAAGTCTTGAAGAGATTTTCACATGTTGAAAACTTAAACATAAGTTATTACATCGTGAAATATGTTGAAATGTGTTAACCTATCCCACGTCAGCACAATGGACGTGAGCAAGTCTGATATGCTCTGGTGCAAATTTGAAATTAATTTTCCTAAAATTGGCCGTTCGTTCGAACGTCTGCTCTTCAAAAGTTCAAAATAACAACACAATCCATTAATTTATTATTAACAACACGCCATGCAGTGAGCATCAATCTTCCACAGCTTGGTGCTATTTAACCTCTCATCCCAACTTCTCACCCCTTCTCACCTGAGTGTGCACGGCATTATCTTTGTCTAAGTTCTGGTCATTGTAGTTCATACAACCATCATCGGACGTTTTTATCTGCTCACATTTATCTAAGTCAACGTTTATACCAATCTCGCACTTTTTTCTCGGCCTATCTGAAAACATAGAGTTTATCAAGGGGAGAAGGGAAGGGACTTTTTACTTCTCAAACTGTTGCTCCTTCTTAATTGGGTTGGGGAGGGAGGAAATACCCCGAAGACAAGCATGAATACGTCTACATATAAAATAGCTTTCGCCTACATGAAACAGATAGTTCCCTAGTGATTGTTTTTTGAAAATATAGATTCTGGCTCACCAACTAACGAAAGACAAACCAGTATTAAGATGACACTGCCTGGCACCTCTTTTCAACATCATATCCGGTGAGAGGTGTCCTTTCTTATCCTCCGTCTCCAACACTTTTACCATCTCCTTATCAGCAAACTCCTCTACTTTCCTGCTGTTCTCGTTGATACTCCTAGTAGCACGTGATATTGATTCCATCTGTTCGTGTAACGCGGCAACAGTAGCTTCGGTAGTCTCGTTCGCTTGGTCGATGGTTAACTTAGCGGAACACTCAATAGACTTTGCAAGCAAGATGGCGTTATCTCCGATGTTCTGGAGAGGTCCGGAGACAATGAGAGATATGATGAGACTCCTGACGAGTGAGCGACCAAGTCCGGAGAAGAGGACCGGTAACATGAGGGAGACAGTGCACCGGGCGTGGTGGAAAAGGATGGCGAGTAATCCCAGGATCACTGTGACAGTCGTACAGATTATTACCAAATGGATTCTGGGGTACGGATGAAGATGAGTGAGTGACATGACGTAAACTTAAATTTAAGAACTTTGGGAAAGAGAAACATTAGACATTTATTTATTTTCAAGTCTGTTTGACAAAGCGAACTTAAATGGAAAATAAATAATAGGACAATAATTGAGTATCTGTCTTGTTGTATAATATTAATAAAGTTATAACACTAACAGCTGAAGTTTTGAAGCACTGTCCTGGGCTACAGAACATGATGAAAAATATAATTTATGCGTACCGGTCGATCTCGAAGAGTTTTTTGCTGCTGTTCAGTGTGGAGAAGGTGGCAAGTCCACAGAAAGAACTTGCTATAAGTACAAACAAGCTCTGTTTGACATTGCACCCCTTCTTGTCTTTTTCCTTCAAGAAACCGTCCAATTTGGAGATTGCTTCATAAAGAGGTTCGTCTGAAGCGACCTTATCCATCTTCTCTAATGTAGTACTTTAAAGTTAAATTAGAAGAGTCAAAACTTGTGAATATGGTTTAAATCTCGTTGAGCCAAATTGGATTTAATGTATTTTAAATAATTAATTTTACAGTTCATTGATTCCAAGGTATTTGAATTTGGCTACAATTGATATATTCTGTTTTGGCTTATGATCATGAGAAGCAGTAAAAAACGATTGTTTCATATAGACAATAGATATTGATCTACGGCACTAATCAGTAATTATAACAAACTAATATTTTAAAAAGCTCCGCAGTACTATCGAATAACTAAGATTATTCCGTTTATAGTTCATCCTTAAAGTACTAATAACTGTGGAAATAACTGTATCTGTATCTGTTCGAATAAATATTGATATTTTCAACACTACTTACTAAATAATATTAATAACAGATAATTTGAAGCTCTCAAGTTGTAGTTTTACGAAGATTTCAAGCCTCATATTATTATTATGAGTTTCCCTTCGTGTATTTTCGAAGTACAGGAAGTAAATGACCCGAGTCTAAACCCTTTTTGTCTCCCTTGTAACGAACACTACAACAATCATCAACACACTCAACAAATGAAGGTACCCAGCAATCCAGTAGGGAGCACCATCATGTCCGTAATGACACACGAGAATACTCAAGGTTGCTCCTAACTTGGAGCCAGTGACGCAGGCTGACAAACCCATGCCCCTGTTGGAGGTGGAAAAGTATTCTGACGCCACAACCAAAGGTAAGAGATCCGCACCACACTTAAGTATACTTACAAGGGATACGATGAGATTGAATATACCTGAGTCAATGCTGTTGGGACAGTTGTAAAAGAAGAAGTTGAATGTTACCAGAAGGAGCGCGATGATGTAACCAGTCTTCTTGCGCCCTATCGATACTGCCGAGATCGCGGTCAGGATAGCTCCAACGGGACCTATTATCGACGTCATGGATTGCTCAAATAGCTGGTGTGTATTAACTACTGCACAGTCGTCTAATAATGCTACATTCATGGATACTGGAGGTTCGATGGTGGTCCAATCAGCGCAGTAGCGATCTTTTATCCCGTTTTTGTTATAGAACGTATATCCATAGTAGATTGCTTGGACAATAAAGCCGTAGGCTGCCATAAGAATCATGCCTTTAATCGGAAGCTGAAGGTCAGTGCACCCCGCCTGACAGTGAGATTCATCATCCTTCTCAGGAGCTGATATTTGGCTGCCAGAGACCGCTGAATGGCCTGTGTTGTACTCGGCATCCTCTTGCTCCGTCTCCAAGTCAGATGAAGCTAAGTCACTAATTGCACAATCCTCTGGTTTGTCATCAGTGGAATGTTTAGTGGTAGAGGGACTGAAAGTCACTCTCCGACCCTCTGATTCATTTAAGGATTCACCGGAGGCTCTCCATATTTCAGACTTATTCTCTTCTGCATCCACCTCCTTTACATTGCTCTCCAAGCAACAGTAAAAGAATGCTTTGTTCACGTTTAATGATTGTAACCGGGCCAATGACTTCTTTGCTCTCTTCTCGTCATCAACAGCTATTCTATACTGTGAGCTTTCATCACTGAGGCACACAAACACAAGAGCAGGAATGTTGATTATATTGATGGCCAGGATGATTGACCTCCAGCCCAAACTCTCGTTCAGTAGCCAGAACGCCGCCACTGCGTACACAATCCCAGACGCTCTTCCAGCAGATCTAAGTGCAAGGACTGCAACCCTCCAGCGACTCGGAACCACCTCAACTAACAGAGCTATCACAGGAGCTATACCACCACCGACAAAGAATCCGACCATTATCTGGAAAGTGAGGTACGATGTAAACCCAACTGCAAATGCTGTCAAATTCCCGAATATAAGTAGTCCAGATACCATCACCATTATGACATTCCGTCTCCCATATTTGTCACTCAAAGGTGAACAGACTAGAGAACCCGCCAACATTCCAATAACAGTCCCGATCTCGATAAAGAGCAGCTTATCTAAGCTTAACTCCCAGTGACATGTCACTAAATCACTCATGTAGGATTGAATGACGTCTTCTGCCCCTTCAAAGAGAATGAATAAACAAGGACTCAAGACAAAAATAAGTGTTCCAAATCCAATGCCGGACTGGTTGATGGCATCCTCCACGGATTCTTCATTGAAAGTTTCCTCTTCATTCTCAATGGAGGAGTACTTGGTATTTGTTGGTATGGCCTCAGCCAAATGAGAGTTTTCTAAACTTTCTTCTGCATCTGTCTGGGACTCTGATGAACATTTTCTGTTCTTTTTTCTCGAAAAGTAGCGCTTAACAGTAGATCTCATGAACATAAACAATTTTACTTCAACTTAAATCATTATCAGTCAAGAAAACAAAAATTTCAAGAAAACAGTGAGCAACAAGATGGATGAAGATGCTTGAGCGAGAACAGGCATTAATATTGAGTTATAGAGGATCCTCAAATGAATAATGAGATAGCCTCAACACTCATTTATACTGTTTAAGACAACAACATAGCTTATATTAACTACTTTCATTACACAGAATACACACTTCATTTAAGGGCCTCATTTCTTAAAGAGCTGTCGCTGAAAGATAAACCAGTAAACAGCATTACCTTCATTATCTAAACATTTTTCATTAATCTGGCAAAACACTATTAAACAGCATTGTTTACCAAATTAAGGGGGCAGGGGGGTCTTTATGAAATTTCTCTCGAAATTGATTTTATAGTTGTTTCTGATAGAGGGAGTGATATCTATCAGTTACTTTTGGTCCATTGGAAATATAATATTGTTCCTAGCCGAAGTTATCGCCGGTCAAAGGTCAGCGCTCATGTGTAATTGTATTGCGCGAGCGATTTTCAATCTGGCCCTGAAAATCAAGTCAAAAAATCTATCTTGAACTCCTACATTTTTTGAGCAATCACCTTGAAACTTTCAGGATATGTTCTAAGAACCATTTAGGAGATTCTGTTTTATCCGAATTTTAAGATAGGTCGTTTTTTGACGATTTTTCCTGGTCCAAGATTTTCAAAATCGAATAAAAACTTTTTTAAAGGCCTATCTCAAAATTCTGCCCGGCTCATCTCTTTTAAATGATCCCTAGAACATATCCTGAAAGTTTCAGGGTGATTGCTCAACAAATGTAGGAGAGTATAGATTTTTAGACTCGATTTTCAGGGCACGCGATCAAAAATCGCCCGCGCAGTACAATTACACATGAGCGCTGACCTTTATCTGGCGATAACTTCGGCTAGGAACAATATTTTTCCATGGGACCAAAAGCAGCAGATAGATATCACTCCTCTCCATTAGAAACAACTGTAAAATCAATTTCGAGAGAAATTTCATATAAAGACCCCCTGCCCCCATATACAGTAATACCACGATTTACCTCAGAGTTTGAGAGAAAAGAAAAAGCCGCGGTAAATCGGGGGTTTGTGGTAAATCGGAGTTTTGACTGTTTTAATTATGTATGTTAAGCCCTATTTGGGGGAAGGAAATAGCTGTGGTGTGTCACCCACTTAAGGGGGCAGGGGGGGGGGTCCTACCTAAACTATTTAATACTTTCAACACTACTATATAACAAATAATTTGAGGATGTACCATGAATGCACAATGACCATGAATCTCTAAACTCGTTGGCAATGGGGTAGCCTGTGTGGAACCTGCAGGGGTGGTGGAACAGAAGACTTGCTGATGGCCCTGCTTGAGAGTTGAGTACTTGTTGTGCTGTTGTTATGTAAACACACTTCACTCATCCTCACAGTCATCACAGTCACCACACCTGGGGGGCTCACAGCATTGTGTATTCATGATGCTCCCTCCGGCCATCATTAAAATAGTAGTGTTGAAAGTATGCAAATTGTATCTTATCTGTTTTATTGAAATATACCCAGATTTGATATTGACTAATTAACACTCTTTCAGCTTTGCTATTTGGGCTTCCCAGCCCTCACCTTCCACAACATCCTCCATACCATCCCTCACATCATCAACCCTATCATCTCACTCTCATATCAATCCTGTCTATGTTGGTCTGTCAGTGTGTCAGTCTATAGATTCTTATTATAATTATTTCTATATAGCTATGATATTTCACATCCTTCACGTTGCTCATTATTATACTCTACACTACTCTTCTCTCTCCCAGGTCCTGAGGCCTGTCTGACGGGACACCACCCCGAACGGTCCACCGGCTGCCCCCGCCTCTTCTCATAATCATGGTACACGATAGATCTCTACGTAATGCTCGTCCTCACAAGGCTCCACCCAACGATCCAAATAACAGCCTCTATGACTCACCTCAATCAAGAGTTCCCCTCTACAAGGAGCAATTGAAGTGTAACACCGAATCTCCTACTGTCATACCAGAAAGCCCCATTGATGTTACTGGAGACAAATTCTTTGATGCAGAGTGCCTTGTCCCCAAAACCCCATCAAACCAGGGTACTCCTAGTGCAAGTGCCAAGAGCACACCTTCTCAAAACAAGAGAACTCCTGTAACCCAAAACAAAAAGAAGTGTCCATGCAAGAAGAGTGACAAAAACTCAACCTACATCACCTGCAACAAGTGTCAACAGCAATGGCATAATAGGTGCAGTAATCTACTCGGCCTTTCACCATCAGATATTAAGAAAATGGAACTGTGGGAGTGCCCAAGCTGTTATGTCTGTCCCGCACTTAGTAAGGTACCTTCATCCCTCTACGCTGACATCCGTTCAACTAAGGAGGTTGTCACTGCATTATGTCTTAGTGAACGCTCTTCAAACCAGGGGTTGGTTAATGATGATGTCACAGAGAAACTGAACATGCTACAGCAAGAGATAAAAGGCCTCCGTGAGTCTGCCTTCCAGAGAGTTGACCAGCCACACCCAGAGAGCACAACCCTGTTGACAGCTGAAGCTGTCACTAGCATCCAAAACAGCCTCTTACATCTGACTGAACAAGTCACATCCATGAAGTCGTCGCTTGGCAACAGAAGCAGCAGCCCTCGGCCTCCACCAAACAGGATGCCACAGCCTAACCATGGTCCTGGTCCCACATCCCCTCCCCCACCTAATACTGTCTCTCCACACACAAAGAAACATGTGACACCGTGCAAGCCCTATGAAATGTATGACCCTCTAGCCCTTACACCAGAACTTAAGGAGGAAGTCCAAGCGTTCATCAGTGGTAACTGTAGCGAATTTACTAGTGTTGGTGAGAACTCTCGTGAAGTAATGTACTTTGGTGACTTCTCGTATAGGTACACTGGCACTGAGCACCCAGCAAGAGAAATGCCGCACGTGCTGAAGAAGCTTCTTGAAACAATTGTTCCTAAAATACCTTCTCCAGTGAATGATAGGAATATTAAGATTAACTCGTGTCTCATTAGTAAGTATAGCTCTGGTGCTAACCACATTCCAATGCACAGAGATGATGAGCCTGTGATTGATCCCGAATCTCACATCCTTACGATCTCACTAGGAGCTGCCCGTACCATGTCCTTCTGCAATAATGATGATAGCCAATCAGAAGATCTCCCCCTTCAGGACAACAGCTTGTTAGTCACAACGAGATATGCGCAGGACTTTTGGAAACATGGGATCCTCCCAGACGAGAATGTCTCCACAGAGAGAGTGAGCCTGACCTTTAGACACATTTCTCCTCACTTCATCAATTCGACCATCATTCTGGGTGATTCAAACACCTCCAGGATGACATTTGGTGACTCAGTAGGTACCTTTGGTCGTTGGGTCCCTGGGAAGCGTGTTTTGGTAGGTCACATGGAGGCTCTCCCTGATGCAATTGAGATTGGCCCTTACCGTAATATTGTCATCCATACTGGAATCAACAGTATTAACTCCCGGTCTCATCCACGATCAGAAGCCTACCTCCTCCATGTCCTGGAATCCAAGTGCAGAGACATTACTGAAACCTACCCCAAATCCAAAATCCACTTGTCAATGTTACTTCCAACTAGACTAAACTCTCTAAATAGAAAAGTTGAAAGCTTTAATCGGGGCATCCTCGATGTGTCTTATCAGCAAAGAAACATTTTTATTATTGATAACTCTATTTTTGGTCGCCAGCTCTCTGATGAGTATGGCAGATGGGATATTGCTGCAAATGGCCCTCTTACCTCAGATATTGTTCACCTTGGTAAAAGTGGTATCCGTAAATTTGCTGCGAATATTAAGGAATCTGTAGCTGGCAGAAGGAGTAGCCAGTCTAGAGCACGTTTTAACACCAGTCAGGGGAACTTCGGCGGAGCGTTAGCGAGTGGTAGGCGCCCACCATAATTATGATGATCAAACAACCACAAATTACTAAGAATGTTTGCAAGGGATGCAATAAATTTATCTCAACACACCACAAAATTTTGAACTGTAGCTCCTGTGGAACAGTTAAGGGCCCATGCTTGTGCAGGAGCTGCATTTGCACTCAATATCTGTGTTTTGGTGACCCTCAGGTCCTTTGGTTACATACATTTTGTCCGAGACAATTTCAACTTTGACAATCCATGCTTAGAGGACAATATTATATTTAACTAATTCATTGTGTAAACTTGTATGTAATTGACTGATTTGAAAGATTTCAATAAAAAAGTTACTCACTCTAAATGTGCCAAAAATCTCTTCCAATACAGCCACACCAATGATAGCTGGCAATGCTACATCTGCATCGCCAGCTTACCACAACGGTACTGCCCATTTGCTTCTGCACTTATACGTGACAAACATGACCCAGTCCACCTTGATGAAATTGAAGATGTTTCTGAAATCAATGAAATCCATAAAAGCTGTAAGAATTATGATCATAAAAGCTTTAAGAACCTCATAAAGCTGTATCATAGAAATGGGCAGAACCTTACTGGTATTTTTAACAATATTGATGGAAATGCTGCAAATTTTGATACATTTGTCACAGAAATCTCACAGTACAGTCATCCACTCTCGTTTATTGGCTTGGCTGAGACAAATATTGATGCAAACCTCAAAGACATGTATAGGATACCCGGTTATCTCTCTGAATACACCAATAAATTACGTGACAAATCTAAAGGTAGTGGAGTGGGAATTTACATCAATGAGTCACTTACTTACACCCGTATTGATAAACTATGTATGTGTACCCCTAACCTTGAATCAGTGTTTGTCTCTATAACAAATGTTGGCAGGCCCCAAACAGTTGGCGTCCTATACAGACCACCTGGTGGATCTGACAAAGATGCCCTACACGAATTTGAGAGCCTTCTTAATCAGGTTCCTGACAGGAACGTTATCCTGCTTGGAGATTTCAACTTTAATCTATTTAATAAAGGCTCTGCCAGCTTTGAAAACATTTTATATGGAAATAACTTCATCCCACTTATATCACTGGCAACGCACCATAAACCAGGCTGTGTCCCATCGCTTATTGACAATATTCTGACAAACTCCACTGACAATATTGTGTCAGCTGGACTACTGGATACCAGGGTTTCGCATCACTCTCCAATTTTCTGTATTCTCGAATGTAGCATGCCTGAAGAACCAGAACTTGACCCTTGTAAACCGAAATATGACTACTGTGAATCTAATATGAACAAGTTCTTAGAAGATATTCAAACAAATTTTTGTGGGCAGGTGTGCTACAACGTAGAAAACTTTGAAATTTTTGCAAATAAGATAAAACTTTTGATCGAAGAAAACTTTTTAATTGAATCTGAATCGTTCAAAAAGTCAAAAAGAAATATGATTGCAAACCCTTGGATCACACCAGGGATCATTGCATCAGTGAAAAAGAAAGAATATCTTTACAAGCAGTGGAAGAGTACAATTAAGGAACCCAACCCTCTTGGAGACTCTGATCTATACTTAACCTATAGTAAATTCCGTCGACAGTTAAAATACATTATCAGATCTGCCAAGAAATTGTACTATTGCAGAAAATTCTCAAAAGTCTCAGGTAATGTGAAGCAAACATGGGCACTGATCAATGAACTGAGAGGAAAAACAAAAACTGGAATAAAGGCCTCGTTCAAAATAGATGGTAGTTTAGTAAAAGACAAACGTGTCATATCAAATGGCTTTAACATGTTCTTCTCTTCCATTGCAGGTAAACTTAATGCGAAACTCTGCTCCTCCAAACCAATAGGTCGTGACACAGCTTGCCAGAGACCCCTTGATTATAAGAACTACTTTAACAGAAGAGTCACCAACAGTATGTTCTTAAACCCCTGTGATTCTGAGGAAATCGAAAAAATTGTTAAAACCTTCCAGGGTGACAAGGCTAGTGACATATCAATAGCTGTTCTTAAGAAATGTGTCACAACAATCTCTAGGCACCTAGCTGGTTTCCTAAATTCATTCATGAAGCTGGGTCTATTTCCAAATATTCTCAAAATAGGTAAGGTTACCCCAGTATTTAAAAAAGGAGACCCACAACTGTTTGACAACTACAGGCCTATATCCATTCTACCTATCTTTGGTAAGATATTTGAAAAAGTAATTTACTGCCGACTATATAGCTTCTTTACTTCACATATGGTCATATACGATAAACAGTTTGGATTCAGATCCAACCACTCAACGGCACATGCCATCAATTACTCCATTGACCACATTCTTAAAAACCTAGAAAGTAAGAATCATGTAATTGGCATATTTATTGACTTAAGCAAAGCGTTTGACACAATCGACCACAGAAAATTACTTGTCAAACTTGAACACTATGGCATAAGAGGGCCCTGTCTTGGCCTAATTGAAAGCTATTTGTGTAACCGACAGCAGTATGTTGATTTCCAAAATACACACTCTGATCACTGCAAAATTGAATATGGGGTACCACAGGGATCAGTTCTAGGCCCTCTCCTCTTCTTACTCTACATTAATGACATTACTAACTCTAGCCAACTTGGACACTTCATACTGTTTGCAGATGACACGAACATATTTGTTGCTGGAAAAACTGAACAAGAAGCCTATTTGAATGCTAATAAAGTACTTGAATCTGTAAATAACTATATGGAATCTAACTTGCTGCACATTAACCAAAGCAAATCGGTCTACATGTTATTCAGGCCTGGCCGCTACTCGTCCTGTGCACGTGCTCGTGAATATGGCTCTGAGAACTCACTCACGTTATCAGGCACCACACTTACACGAGTAGATAAGGTGAGATTCCTTGGTGTTATCATAGACCATGAACTATCCTGGGAACCCCAACTAGATAACATAAAATGTAAACTAACTACAAGTATAGCTATAATTAAACGTATTATGAAGTTTATTCCAGAAACAGAATACCATAAACTGTATGACTCATTATTCAAGTCTCATATGAGCTACTGTATCAGTAGCTGGGGCGGTGTCACACCTTTTAGGCTATCTAAACTGTTCTCCATCCAAAAAAGATGCGTACGCCTTCTATTTGGAAGCAAACCAAGCTTTGACCGGGCAGAGTACTATGAAACATGTGCACGTTCAAGACCATACAGTGAACATATCGCAAAAAGGAGCTTTGCTTTGGAAAACACTAAGCCAATATTCAATACCGAGAAAATCATGTCAATCCACAACCTTTACATCCAACATATATCCACTGAACTGTTTAAAATCTTGAAACTGCATCAACCCATCTCTCTGACAAGTTTATTCCAAACAAGTTCCAGAACATGTAGCCAAACTATGCGGGTCCCCCGACACAAACTTGACATTTCTAAACACAATTTTGTCGTTAAAGGTACGACTATATGGAACAGTTTGGTTGATAAAATATTCGACAAATGCACTCCTAATGAAAACAATGTCATGGTCCCTGGCTCGAGTAAATTTTCCGACCTTTCCTCCCCCATCTCAATTATCAAGAGCCGTATCAAAAAGCTGTTACTTGAAACCCAGCAATTGACAACACCTGGGCGTGAAATTGAGTGGCTCCCCCTAAATAGCTGGGGCATTGAACCAGCTTAGTTGATCAGCATCCCATCCCTTGCATACAATTAATTACAAAAGCGCTAATTATACCTGTTTCAAAAGCATCCTGTCTGGAAGTTCCCTGACTGCCGTGTGAATCTTTGGATCTATTTTTGGATCTATTTTTATATTGATATGATTTTTATATACCTATATATTCATCGCATAATTTCCATGTCCTCCTGAACAAACCTGGCACCATCAAATCTTACCTAGAAACCCCAGAACTCATCAAGCCTAGTCTGAATTCAAAACTAGTTGACCAGCTACGTACAGTTTCCTGGACAACTGGAACCTTTTGGGCCATGCACAAGCCAATAGCATGTATGGTCCTGCAGTGGGGTCTCCTTGTCCTTGGATCTGTGTTTTGATCCGTCTTTTCTTAAAATTTTCCATTTGTGTCACTTAGACTCACCTATTAAATGCTAATCGGCACCACTGGTCCTAGTTAGATTTAGCCATGGCACGACTACTCAAATGTAACAGTTAAATAGGTGTGACATACTATTATATTCTTATAATTATATCATATGAATTGATTGCACTGCTAATAAATAAAATACTTTGTTTTACTACTAAAATACTTTGTTTTACTACTATTCTTGGGTTAGTACTATGGAGGAGGTTTTTTTACTTTTTTTAAACTTTTGTTACTATAGTATCCGACCTCAGTCTTATAATGCTATCGGATGTGACCTTGGTCACGGCTCTTAATATACTGTCTTTATCTGAGGACTTATTGAAAAATCGCTGCCTCACTGCTTTCACCAGTTTGTGTGAGGCCTCGCCACCTTGTTCTGACCCGATTCCCATCGACCAACCCAACTTTCGTAATTGGGGAATCACGTGGTCTTCAAGCATGTGGATCTTTGGCGGAACAGTCTTGAAGTATTTCCGATATTCTATTAGGAAACCGGCAATTTCCTTGTCCAGCTCATCGATTGCCTCCTTGGTTAACCTGAATTTGGTGAAGTTGAGACTGGGTAAGTGGGTATATTCGATAGCTTACATTTGCTGTACTTTAACTTTGAATAATGATGCATAGATATCGTAGATATAGTAAATACCTATTCGTGTTTCCTAAGTTAGTCACTAGTGGACCGTAGATTTTCATCAGTGAGATGACATCTGCTATCTCTTTCTTGAGTAGCTTCTGTTCGTCATGCTCAAAGCTGAAGTTGTAACTTTATTGAAACTGAGTATTGGATACTTTAGTATTAATAATTTGAATGGAAATGTGGACGAAATGTGTACGATTAAACTTTATGTACTCACATTCCTAATGCCAAAATTTCAATCCACAGCGGAACAAGCTTGTGGTATCGTGTAACGAGGTTGTGAGCGTCGTTACCGTTCAATGTGCTCCCTCCAAAGTGAGCTTGTGGTGAACAGCCTGATTTAAGGTAATAAGTGTAAAGTTACTTAAATTATAATTGTTACAATTCACATAAAATTGGTGACTTATTTAATACTGAAATTAATGCATTATAATATGAATACAAGTGTACTTAGTGACCCGATTTTCGAGCAGGCTTTCTCGTATCTGTACTGATAAGGACCACACGTTACCTCCTCAGGACCAAGTGTACCAGACCTACATGCTTCAACAGATTTGGAGAAGTCTGTGCCTGGCAAAACAGTTATTCCTTGGATGGAGGAACCACTGGCCATGCTTTGGACAACTGCCAAGTCTACCTTTTGACATATCCTCATACTCAGATTCTGAAACAGAAGTGTTATTTAGTACCTCATGGGATAGTTAATCGAGAAAAAAATCTTGTTTTATATATATAGGTTAAATTGTATCTATAAATACTTTCACCCATATCTTTTTTCAATGAAACTAATAAATCAATGAAACTAATGAATCAATGTTTTAGCTCATTTTACAAAGTCAAATATTTAAAACAATTAAAATTGTATAGTGCTCAATTTGTAAATGACTAGTTGATCTTTGCTATTGGAAGTTTGTCAAGGACTGGCAGCTAGCGGGGCAAGGAATGCACGGGCTTAGGGGCTTTTGTGCACACCAGAACACTAGCTCGGTAGATTTTTGGAAACTAGAAGGACTGAAAACTAAAATTGTTTTTGATGGAGGCTGAGGCATGTTTTTGAGAGGGACGGTATAATAGCTTGTGGTAACAACTGGCCTTTACTTTAATAGGATGAAGTTTTAGTTTTAGGACAGGAAGAAGGCATTAAGAAGATTTGCTCTTTGTTTACAAGGCAGAATATAAGCAATGTTGGTTATAATATCTGAAATAAGTAGCACTGTTATAATGACATTTGGAGCTCCACATTATATTTAAATTAATTGATTTACAACATTGAGCAGCTGCATCAAATTATGGCATACCTTGCCGTCGGTGAACATTGCGGCTGCAGAAGTTGGTAAAGTTCCAGTTTACTCATAACTGTCTTTACCAACGACTGCAGACTAGTGTAGACAACTGGTGTGTCTGCTCTTAATACACGGTCCCCAGCCTTTTTCTCCGATTTGCAGTTGTAGCTTGCCCTGAACTCCATGGGTACTTGTACAACCTCGTATTGTACCTCATTGAGAGCTTCAAAGCATCTTACAATCTTCTCCGATGCAAATTTCTGATTCTTCAAACGCTGTGTTCAAACGCATATTCGCTGTGATTAAACGTTTACATACATTGCATGGTATGAGTCAGTTTGAAGACAATACTTGGAAATGAGACGAATTAGTATACTAATAATATTTCAATGTATGACTCGTATTTACCAGCATTCATAAATTCGATTGTGTCTCCGGAGTCCATCCTTGGTCGCTTGTTTATGTTGGAGGACTCCGCAACATATTCTTTAGTCTCTTTAGACTCCAACGTCTGGAAGGACGCAGTTTCTAGGCGTCCCACGGTATCTTTCAGGTCACGTTGAAATCTTTATGAGCGTCTACCTGAGATTGAGACAGTGAATTTCAGTTCAATCTTAAGTAAAATTCGTATTGGAATATTTAGTAGTCTAACAAAGCCAGATTTTAAGAAATCAATCAATCAACCTGCAGTGACGTTATCTTTCTGTGAGCGTGGTGAAGCTTCCTCCTAACTGCCTGGTCAGGGTTTTCAACAACCTTTGCAGGTATTTGTGTTCGTATGTAAGTCTGAGGCTTACCCCGGTCTTAAATGTAAGCACATCCTTACTCTACTCCTCAGTTAGAGAAAAATTTAACTTCCATCCCAAAAATATTACTGACCTAGCCGGTTTGCTATCCGATAAAACACTAGACCCTACAAAATTTACTGCCACAGCTCAGCAAGAGCAATCCATTCAATTCTCTCTGTGAACGAACATTTTACAGCCTACTATAAGAGCCCAGATTTTCACTCAAATACTGGCCAATGCATAATGCTACAGGACCTCAAAATAAGTATTATAAAACATTTCTATTTTATCCCTGGCCCTACACATTTGTAAATAACTAGAATTGTGTAACCTTAAATTATTTCAGAATTATACCTATTATGAATTCAATAAAATAATTATCACTTTTGTATCCTCGTATCCTTGTATCCTTGTATCCTTGTATCCTTATCTACGGCATGGTGTTGTACCCTTTTCAGAATGTAGCTGAAAGGAAAGTATAATTTTAATTATAATTCCTCTACACTGAAGGGAACACTAACTTATGCCAAATATATAATAATATAACTGTGTACCTTGCAACTGTCCAGAATTTTTCATCCAGTTTACTCTCTATCGGGGTACTCAAGAACTCTCCTACCGTAACTCCCAATTCGTAGGAAAACTCTCCTTACAGTTTAACATGATTCTTTACAGTTTTTTTTGTAAAGTTATTTGCAGACTTGCAGCGGTTACAGGGACAAGTTTCCTTTTTTGTTTCCATGCTATTTGGAACGACAAATCAATTTTAAATATTAGCTATTTCAGTACATTACACAATAAAGTAAACTAAAGTAAAGTAAAAATTATGACATAACATCATCACACATGTCTACAAAGTATCAAATCACTATATGGAAAAACATAAATATCTTACCACCAAAATTAATAAATTATTAACTACAACTTTGTTCAAAAATTTCAAATAAATTCAAAAAGCATCCCCAAAAGATAACCATATTCATACTTCCCAGTGGAATAAAGATTTATAAATCGCTTTTTTGCCACAAAAGGGTGGAAATAAAGATAATTGTTATGCTTCTCTTTATTACTAACATAGCTAGGTCCTTCAATTCTCCCTAATACTTATAATAATAAATAATAAATACAACTTTTATAAACCGCCTTATAGCTAAATCATATAACTAGAACTCGATATAATTTAATCCTGGAGATAAACTCCAGTGCTTTCTAAAGCGGCTCTTACATTAACTGAGCTTAGTTTAATTGAAAATTAGACATGACAAGTTCATTTTGCCTATGTAAATGCAAAATCAATCAAATGCTAGAGAAAAGAAGTATGTTTTAAGTTTGGTCTTGAAAGATGTAACTGACTCAGCTGATCTTATGTCGTATGGCAGGGAATTAAATACTTTAACTGCACAGTGACTAAAAGCTTTCTCTGTGTTTACATAGTTAGGAGAGGGCGGAAAACTAAGGTAAAAATAATCATTATCAAGACGTACATTTTTAAAACTTTGCTGCCTAGGAGATATCAACTCTTTTAAGTAAGGAGGAGCTATATTATTTAAACACTTGTAGGCAAGTAGGGCAATCTTAAAATCTATTCTAAATCTAACTGGTAGAAAATGAACTTTCTTAAGTAGTGGAGTAGTGTGTGCCTTTCTTCCTCTCCCGAAAATAAATCTTACAGCAGAATTTTGCACCTTCTGTAAACGACTTAAATCATAAGAGCTCAGTCCAAAATATACGCTATTGCAGTAATCAATTCTAGAGAGTACTAGAGCATGAACAAGCTGAATCTTAAGGTTAAAAGACAGTTTTGATGCAATAAACCACAAATTTCTGATCTGAATATTACATGCTTGAACCACTGACGTAATCTGATCACTCATTGAAAGATAACTGTCCAAATACAGCCCAAGACTCTTCACAGTTCCACTAACAACATGTGGCTCTTGATCCTTAACAATCTGTAGAGAGGCTGGAATATTTTTTGAGTCAAATTTAGAGGATATAACGATGACTTCAGTCTTAGAAGAATTCAGTTGAAGGAAATTGTTTGTCATCCATTTCTTGATATCAGACATACAGTGTTCCATATTGTGCTCTAGCTGTGATGGGTCATCAGAATCAAGAGTGAAATACTTCATTTGAAACATTCCAAAAATGTGAATCATTAGAAATATCCTTAGAAATCATATCTTTCTTAAACCCTTCTAATTTAATCTTAAAACCTAAAACAGTCACCGAGTTCTTAACATCTAGAGGAAGTTTGTTCCAGTAAGGAATAACTCGCTCTGGAAGAAATGAACTTTGGAGATTCCTAATCTTTGCCATACTCTTACAACATTTGTTGGATGATACAAGATTAAGACCAGATCTGCTCACTTTGAACAAATCTGAGCCGTACTCAGTCAAACCATTAATAACCTTAAAAGCTTCCCCACGTATTCGCCGCTCTGCCAGCGAGTCTTTTTCCTGAGCAGATGCTTCAAGTTCTACACCATTAACAAAATAATTTAAGTTAGGATTACTATTAAGATTAACATGAACTACTTTACATTTGGCAGGATTGAACTTTAAAAGCCAAATACTCTCCCAAACTTCCAATTCTGCAATGTCATCAGCAACACTTTCATGTTTAGCAAAGTCATAACATATTGCAAAGTCACTTTATATTTACAACAAAACAGATATCACCACTATTTTCACTGCATGCATTAAAAAACTACAATTTGGGTTCCGAGCTAGAGTGCTACCAGGCCAAGAATGTTTTGCATCTCCCCAGTAGTGCTACTGGGTCGCGCCGCGCATCAAATAATTCTTCTCGCAAGATAGATCTTCGGTAGATCGGCAAAATGCACCACTGTGCCTCACCGAGCTGCGAAGGATTGACATCGTGAATCAAGCTACTTCGTAGAACTTGCCTTCGTAGCACTTGCCTTCGAGAAAAAAGCGGCGCGCGCTACTTCGAAGAAATTTAGACGAGTAACATCCGTCAAGTTCAACTAAAAGTGGTTTAATTTAAACAGACGGCTAGACCTCGCGCGCGACATTTATGATTTACAATTTATAAACATGACTTGCACGCGTGGCGCATTCCAATCTTCAAGCAGCCAGCACGTGACACAATTCAGTCAAACAAAGTACAGAGTTCTGCAAAGTTAAAGTTGCAAACTTTTGATCGGCCCAAAATGACACTTTTCTAGAAATTTGTAGATATAAACTCCAAATCTACGTTGTTTTGAATGTTCCACCTGGGGGAAACGTTACTTTTACAAGA